GATGCCTGCCATGGAGAGCCTTTTGAGCCCATGATTGCTTAATGTTGTCTATGCTTTTTATATGTTGTGTCATGTCTGTATGTTGTGAGTGTAAGTTTAATGGTGTGTTATTTGAGTCTGCTAGAGTTACTGCTTTCTGCTAACTGTGATGTTTCTTGTTTCTTGTAGAAAAACTCTCGTAGTGACTGTATTTGTTTGTAGTGAAGGTTAACTATGTCGATCAGACCACGTCCGCCTTCTTTATGTGGAAGGGTTAATCTTTCTGTGGCAGATTTAGGATGATGTTGTTTATGCTTAGTAAGTGGTGTTCTTGTTTTCCTTTGGAGTTGCTCGAGATCTGTGTGAGTCCAATGTATAACTCCAAAAGAATATGTGAATACTGGGATGACATATGTGTTTATTGCTTTAACTGTGTTCTGAGGAGAGCATTAAACCTACTTTGGTATTCTTTAATTAATCTTTGCTTTATTTGTGTATGTTCTCTTAGTTTGGCCAGTTGGAATCCTAAATACTTGTAGAATTCGCCCTCTTCCATGGATGCAATAATGTCTTCATTTCCAAGTGCAAAATTTTCTTTCTTTGGGATTCCTTTTTCTATGTGAAGTTTTTTGCATTTGTCTAGGCCATATTCCATTTGTATGTCCTTAGTGTATGAATGTGTGATTTGTAGGAGTTGATGAAGTTGTTTTTGTGTGGATGCATAAAGTTTTATGTCGTCCAGGTACATGAGATGTGAGAGCGTAAACTGTGTTGATTTTTCATGTCTGATATTGTAGCCATATTGCATGTTGTTTAACATGTTGGATAATGGGTTCAGGGCTAGGCAGAATCAGAGAAGACTCAAGGAATCTCCTTGAAAAATTCCTTGCCTAATGAATATTTTGTTTGTTTGTATAGAAGTGTTACTAACCTGAGATGTAGTGTTGTTCTCCAGTGCTGCATAATGTTTTGGAAGAATGCAATGAGTATTTTGTACATGTGTAGAATATGTAGCAGCCAACTGTGTGGAACACTGTCAAATGCTTTTCTATAGTCTATATATGCCGTGTGTACGTTTCTGTGTTGTTTGTGTGCTTGCCGTAGAATGACTGAATCTATGAGTAACTGTTCTTTGCATCCCCTGTGATTTCTACAGCAACCTTTTTGATTTTACTACGATCAAACTCTGACACGTGCTGTTAGGTGTTCCTCTTCCTTACACGAAGCATAATAAAATCTTTACACAAGCAACCAACATGTGAATAAGATTTCCATATGAGAAACTTGCTTTACAATCTTTTCTTTTATATGGATTGAAAGGTGGCCTTTCTCTTACCTGCTTTGAGAACATGGGTTGAAATGCTAATCATTTGCATATCCCAGCATGTTGTACTTTTTATGCAAATTTTGCATTTGTTGCATGCCACCTTCACGGTGTAGCAAATTTAATGGTCAACAGTGTATATAAACAACTCGTAACTCAATTTTAATCGATTCAAGTGAAATATCTTTACCAAATTATCAAACTATTATATGGCTATGTTAATAATTAATTACTAATTGATTCGACTAGAGGTAGGTGGTTAAGCCATCATCTCGTATTTAATTTTAATGAGGTGAGGTATTCCAATAGTAGCCTAATAATTTTGGCAAAGATTGTTTGGCTTTAATGTCTTGTTAAAGTTGGTAAAATAGAAGTTTCTAATGAATGAGTCATTATAAAACAGTGCATTAAGTGCTATTTTAAAAACGTTGACAAAACTGTCACTCGTCAAAGGGACCCACTCCTGTCGAAACAATAATTACATCATTTAAGCTAGACTTCTGATTAATTCCTATTGCTGTATGGACCAACACACATTTTAGAGATATGGTCCTGTTTTTTCTCTTGTCTATCATTCCTTATCCTGTCTATATATTGTAATTTGTAGCACTACTCTTCCCAATCTCCTTTTGTGATATTGATAGTTTTTGTTCTTTGTTTAGGGTTCTCATAGTTAATTTTATGGGTGCATTTTGATGACAATTTACTCAGAAACTATTGTGAATTCAGATCAGACATTACTGTAATTACTAATATAACAAAAAACGCTGCTCTTTCCACTACATCAAAGTACAGAAATGGTGATTTGTTAAGTTTTTATTTATTAGGAACAACTCAAATTGAAATGTTTTCATTCATTTGAATATAAAATTGACGAAAGTCATATAAAAATGTATAGTTTACACATTTAAATTCTTATTTTCAGGCCCGAACTTGCAGCAGCTTAACGAAATGGGAGTGGTTGTACATGATCGGTTCTGTTGTCTCTCTGCTTACTTCTATGATATTGACAATATATACGATGACGAAGCTGGATAAAACATCATTTGACTTTACATTTGCAATAGTTTTAATATATACAACTTGTTAGTAGACTTTTTAACATTAAATTATTAAAATCTAATTTAATTTAATATATCAAGGGCCACAATTTTGTCTCCTGCTTTATTTGAACGAAACTGTGCTGTAATTCATACCCATTAAGTTTAGCATTATGAAATATATCTCGGTGAAGGATTTTGAATCTCTATTTTATTATGGACACCCGCATTGTCAATGCATGTTCCAGTGCGACATTTTGTTTCCATAAATACTTCCGATAACATTTCTGGTGTCACAACATGCACAGTCGCCACAATTGTCTCTATAAGCTCCTAAATAGAGAACAGCTTTTTTCGCATAAATGTGATGTTTCACAATATTGGTACCATGCCCAATCCAGCATCTAGGGAAGAAATTAGAGTAGCATGAATCTTGTCCCAGTGAGGTGGGAGCTCCATCCAACTGAAGGAAGACTTCATTACTGAATAAATTCTGCTGCTTTGTGTCTGAAAGAACAATTTAAGTCAGAACAGTGTGGAAAGATGCTCCCAACAGTCATAGGATATTAACTTTTGGCAAATGTCATTGATGTACTCTTTGGGAAAGTTAGTTTTGCTCCCATATGCAACAGTTCCATTGATTCACCTTCCATCACAAAGCATGATATTTGAAATCCTTCACTGGGATAAGTTTTGTAATATCATGTAATTTAATATCTGTAAATTTAGTATCTGTAAAGCAGGGGGCATAATTATCACTTGCCCTGTATACAAGATTTTGATAAAGTTATATGGGGTGATCAAACGAGAACTCTACTTGCGAGGAGTAAGTAGACTTGGTAGGAGGAACCAACTTATTCCTCTTATGCACTAGCAAATTATTTATTTAGTTTCAAATTCCTTGATTCTGAAGTAAATAAATGTTAGATTTAAGTGATTTTCATCATATAGCATGGCAGTAATGAGCATGTTTGGTTCGTAATGCTGATAACTCTACTCCTCACAAGTGAACTTTGTTTGATCTGTATCAGTTCGTTTACAGCAACTTATTTTGTTGTTAAATTATGTAAATTATCAACGTAATACATATATTATTTCCAGTTTTCTGTTTTTATTATGTGGTTCATGGTGTTTTAAAAGAGAGACCGTTTGAATTAATGGTGTTTGTCACAACTATTTTTATCATCTTGGCATATAGTATTATGAATTACTTTGCAAATTCCAAGAACAATGACATAAAAGTGGTGAGTCATAACTAATTTATAAACCTGCAAATCTTTTAATAATAATTAATGCAGAAAAGATGATATTATTTTCAGGTTCGTCTTGTACTGGTTTGCATTCTCGGTCCTATTTTGATCATGGCAGGAATCTGGCTGAGTCGGGAATATTATCTATCTGGAAACTTAATTTACCGCACAGTAGGGGCTAATATCAACTTACAATCCATGTGTAAATTGATGTTTCTCTGTTCTACACTCTTAAAGTTTGATCTCCAGTTACAGGTAAGATTTATTATGTATATACAGTCAAACCTCAGTTTTCAAACTTAACTCATTCCTAAAAGTTGTTTGAAAATCGACTTGTTCTCAAAATGAAACAAATTTTCCCATAAGAAACAATATAAAATGGATTAATCTGTTTCTGACCTTCTAAACAAAGAATTTTTTTTACCTTAACTGTATTTTATGCATAAAAATGCCTACAAATGCAATATAATATTATCTATATCCGTCAATATTTACAATATATATTATAATATTAATCAATTTTTGTTATTTAAGTTGAGTTAAGCACCTTTAAGCACTGATTCGTAAATGCCAGTTAATGCAGTTTTTATTAACTAATTTGATGTCAATTCAATTGCGATGTGTACCGTTAAATGGAAGTAGTAACTTACCCGCATGCACATTGAAATGCAATTTGAATAATGTCATTGTTGATGGTTTTTGTCGTGACAATGACAGGAGGTGATTTTGGCACCCCTAACTTCCAAATTGGTGGTCTCATTGTCAATTGGTTGGGTGGTCAACTTTCTTTAACACAAGACGTGTAGAGAGTTGACCGTCTGTGTGTGTCTAATCTATGGCCGGCTCTTGCCGAGTAGCTTGCTTGGCAACTGGGGCCAATATTACTTTCAAAATTTTGTTCATAAACCAAATTGTTAGAAAAGAGAAGAGTTCAAAACCCGAGGTTTGACTGTGTGTTAGAAGATGAAGATTGAAAACGTTAAATGAGTGGAAAAATGACCAGAATGTGTTGTGGATTTACGGTAGATACAATAAATTTTGTGTTGTGACTTCTTAAAAAGAGTCATGATGTGAAATTTGTGTTGGAACTGTTATAGAAATGATTACGATGAGTTTCAGCATTATCATTGTTTTCAATCTTTGAGCCTAGCATATATAATAGCATAAACAACTTGATGTATTTGAATTATATTGTAATACATTATGTAAGTATATACGTTCAACATACATATATGGGCCTTCCAAAATGAATTCTGCCATTTTAAATTACTGTAAGTACATTAATTATTATCCAAGAGGTATGCAACACACACTAATTGATAGAATAACCATCAAAGTCTCATCTGCATTCAAAAGTCTGTCTACTACTACCTCTAGGAAGCACTGTAAACAAAAATTGTGACTCCTCAACAGAGAAAAGGTTGTGTGTTCTGCTCTTCTCAAAGTCAGAATAATCTGAAAGAGCCATGGAGAGGAGTGACAATGATTACACTGTAGCAAGCTTAAGAATTTGAGTATTGGTTGGGTGTTTGCTATGTGACATGAGGTGCGCACACTGAGAAACCATAATGGGCAAATGTGAAACTTGGACAATTATCCAATGTTTTAATGTACATTATGACATTCTTGGCTAATAATTAACATAATTACAATAATTTAAAATGATAGCATTCTTTTTGGAAGACCTTTATTATTAGTTCACATCATTTTCAAACTAGCAGCTTTTGTGTGTGTTGCTTGAGGATAGCAACCAAACCCTGTCAATCTGTTTTCCTCCTTAAAATACTCTATGCTGAAGTGTTGGCAGAAAGAACATGATCTGAAACCACTCATTCATACATTAGCATATTTTTCTGAACTAGTTAACACATTAACCTCTTTTGATATTCTTTACTATACCTTCCAATACTAATCAACCAAAAGTCATTTTTATATATCTTGATCCATAACCGCAAGGATTACTGTAAAGTATATCATCAAAGTATATCATGTTAGTATAATAGTTGCAAAACCTTGAGGATATGAGATCGGTGTGTGACAGAAATGGTAGGAGTATTTGAGTCTAATCAAGCTCTGTTTTATTAAAATGTATGATATACCACGTGAAAATTTGATTCGGTGATACAATGAGAGCGAGTGATTTCCACATTGGTAAATGTCGCGGATGCCGTTATAAATGAGAATCAAATTCAATGTAAATACACCCATATTCAAAACTTGAGGACAAACACAATAGCTAGAAAAAGTCCCTGAGCTGGTCAGAAACGAGCCTGCCAAGGCATCGAGTGCTGCATCTCATTTCAAGATGGACATATTCCACGATGGGTCTGTGAGGTAGTATAACCCGACTGGCAAGGATAGTGGCCCGGAGTATCACTGTGGGTTTTTCAACTTTTACTTGCCTAGGAGTGTCGACCTTGAGGTTAAAGGACCCTCGCTTTGCCTGCGATCTGTCAGGATGCAAGAAAGCCTTTTTATGTATGGGGTAGTGGTTTGCTGGACACAGAGACTCACACAGAGACCGAATTTACAAAATTCACACATTTATTGATATAAAAACATGCTTACAATGATGGCATTATACTGATGTTATATAATTCACAAGGTGGGGAAAGGTCGTCTTCCAGATTGCGAGTCCAATGTGGAGGGAGTCCGTCTCCAAAGTACTGATGCTAAGGTTCAGGAGAAGGTTTGTCACTGGCACTGTCTTGGAAGTTGGAGGGATGGACGGAGTCGTCACAGGGAAGCCTGTGTTAGGAAGCCTGTCAGATCCTGGCGTCCCTTCTTCCTTTTTTTTATGTTCCTAGTTTGGGTTTTCTCAACTAATGCTCTCGATCACCACTTCACAACCTCCCTGTGTCCTTGAGACCTCAGGCTTTTATAACATTTTTCTTCCCAAAATCCCGAGGTTTTGGTTGGTTCGAATGATGGTCCCCTGTACTTTTATTTGTCCCTGGGCTGTTGCCAGGGACGCTATTCAGGCCGTGGGGTCGCTGAACATCCCTGTCTGGGCCATTTCCCTCCAGAGTCGGGTCAAGCCTTTCTCCAGATGATGGACCTGTAAATTTTACCTAATGTGTATTTTTCTGTCCCGGAGAAGACACAGCTGTCCCAACTGCCGCTCCTTCTACAGGAGTGTCAGCAGGTCCCACTTTGAACTCTCTATAAGGTGACTGTCCAAAGTTACCCCGGTGGACGATCCCTCTCTCGTTCTCACAATTGCAGATCTGTCAATTAGGTCTGAAATGCAACAATTAAATCATCTTGCACCCCGTTCTTTGGTCACACCGGTCCTATTTACGAAATAAGTCACCGATTTATTGATTTTAGCTTGACATCCAGTTCCCGTCCTTGGGGTGATGTCCTGGCCTCACAGTTCTCTCTGTCTAAGTATTGTGGGAGGTATTGGTAAGTACTTTCCATCTATTCTCCACTTAAGTTCAACCGTTGTATGTTATCTTTTTCATCAAAGACTTTTATTCCTTTGATTTGTAAAATCCTACAAGTTATGTATTACTCTGTATTAGACTTTGAGTAATATTTGCTGCATTTGTGTATGGTTCTTCATATTCGTATACAAATGTCATACATCCTTAAGTTTCGGACACATTTGTAGCTACGTATCTATGTATTGATATTTACTTTAAAAAATTTTATTAAATATTGATTAATCATGTATTTTATTTATAGGGAAGCATGATTTTACTCGTTATGGAAAATGGGACAAATACTGACTCCACTGAAGCAGTCATCCTCGGTATTGGATTTACTATCACAATTACATTCGTTACAATTGGATTTTTAAGTGTAAATATTGGATAATTAATTTTTAAACGATAAAAACATTTTTCATACATTGAAAAAAATTTTTGTAGATGAGGTTCGAAAACAAAATTCTAGTAATTTTGTTTGTGATCTTGAGTATTTCGGAACCTGCTTACATCATTTATCTATTTTATAAGGTACGTATTTATTTAGTCCATTTGTTAGTTTTAAATTTTACAAGTTTAATTAGCATATTTCTCTTACCGAAGGCGCGCAATCTAGAAGAAATTCTCTATCGTGCCACATATCTGTGCGGATCATTGGCCATTATCGTCTGGATCGGAAAGGTGGCATGCATGTATTTTGTCATGAGAAATTTTGGAAAAGGATTGAAAGAAAAAGGTAGTAAAAATAAATATAAATTTTCAGCATAAATTAGTTTTAGATATGTCTGAATCTAAATTCTTTTAATCATTAGTTTTATAATGAGATAGTCGTGGTGTGAAATATACCCGTTTTTAATAAATATTTTTAAATTTAATCACTGTCTCCTGCAAGCATAATACTAAGCTCATCCAGAAAGTAAGTACTGTTTGGTATTAAAAAAGATTTTCAATTTGTTTTCATTTGTATTTTATTACAGAAAAATTTACATACCTTAAACTACTTTTCGGCAAAGTGACCATGCGAATTAAGGCATGTGTCATATCTTGGCACTAATTGCAACATAACTGCTTCGTAGAATTTGGCCGCCTGCGACCTGAACCAGTTCTGGACATTTACCTTGATCTCATCATCACTTGGAAAGTGGTGGTTGGCAAGAAATTTCTTGAGATGAGAGAACAAATGGAAGTCAGATGGAGCTAGGTCTGGACTATAAGCAGGGTGATAGAATTGTTTCCAGTGAAATGAATCAAGTAGCGTCATCGTTACGTGTGCAGTATGCGGTTGCTGTGTTGTCATGCATGAACACAATGCCCAGAAGTCAGTAGTCTTTGTTCTGTATCGCATGCCATAACTTTTTCAATATCTCACAATAAGCTGTAGATCTCATCACTTTCCACATGATGATGAGATCATCGAGGTAAACGTCCAGAACTGGTTCAGGTTGCAGGCCGAATTCTACGAAGCAGGTATGTTGCAATTAGTGCCAAGATACAACACGTCTTAATTCGCATGGTCACTTTGTCAAAAAGTAGTTTAAGGTATGTGGATTTTTCTGTAATAAAATACAAATGTAAACAAATTGAAAATCTTTTTCAATACTCAAATGGTACTTACTTTCTGGATGAGCTTAGTATTATGATTCAGACAAGTTAGAGCCTTTATTAAAACAGAAGAAGGCATAATTGTAAAAATGTTACCAAATTCAACTATACATCATTAGTGTTTTGATGTTTTCTACACACAATTAGCATGCACACAAATGCAAAAGATTATTATAATTATTCACTATATATCTGAGATAATGGATCTTTCAATGTGTTTGCCTTGTCCCTCTACAGTCGCTGTGATCGCCAAGGACAGAAAGTTTCAAGTCATTTCAAGCATTTTTTTTTTTTTGATATTTAAGATAAGTGACTCAATTCTTAAATTTTTATCAATATCTCATAAGAGCCTATGCCAAAAATGCACAATTTGTACATTGCGTTAATAAGGATGGAATTTAAAATCAAAGAAGCAAGAACATTCTGTATAAGACGTTTACTATTTAAAATAAATTATTTACAAATTTAAACGAAAAGCTTATTGCTATAAAATATGGTGTTTGTGTTCAATAGTTGCTCCTACATAAATTAAAAAGCAGTTTATAGGTAGGCAAGATATATACACTTTTCATCAAAAATATGGCTAAATATTTGTTACATTGTAGATCCAATTTCATGTAAAATTATTTTAGATTAATTTGGTTGTTTCTGTTAAATGTTTTGTTTTGTAAGAAAGGCATTTAGTAATATTTCATCTGGTTTAAACCAGATGATATACTACTAAATGCCTTCTTTACAAGGTAGTTTTCCCAAAAAACCAGATGCACAGGTCACGATTTCTTCCGAGCAGCAGTTTGTCGTCCCTAAAGACCCAATTGCCACTCAAATTGAGTCGAAAACGTGGGAGGACAGCACCTAGAGGGCTGCCGAGAGGTGGGACAATGGGGTAAAATTCCAGCTACGGGATGTCATCCTACAATTTGCTTTCTTGTGCATTAATTGTCCATAGAAGGCAGGTGTAAATAAAGAGAAAACTGGTATTTATTAACATTGTTTCAATTGTAAAGCATAATGTTACCATAATTGTTTCAGTAGTTGCTTTATTATTATTTTTTCTGTGCAATGACTTGAAAGAACACTGATAATCTCGAGTAATTGTTTTCGGAATGCAAAATAATGCTTGAGCACGTAGTATCAAATTTGCATGTGTGTGCTTGTCGGGCCCACGGCAAGGGGCCTTTTTTAGAGCTAAATCTCCCAAATTACTCTGTAGCCTTTTGCATAAATTGGCAAGTGGGAAAGAAAGCCGGGAACTGAAGCCGAAAGGCTCGACTTCTTAGACTTTGTTTAAATTCACTTCAAGAAAATTATTTTTTATTCATTTTTATGGATATTCGAAACCATTTTAAGTGTGTGTAGATTACAATCAAGTGCCAAAATGTAACAGTTCTCAATTTTATTTTGGCAGTGTATGGAGACGAGAAGACCAAAGTTTTGGATCCGGAAGTCTCGCTTCCACCTCCACAGGAGGAGGCGGAGAAACCGGGTGACTGAGGAAGTTTTGTATACGTGCAAAGTCGATCAAATTCTGCATTTTAAGAACTATTTTGATAAAATGTATATAAATAAGAGATTATATTCTATGAATAAAATTATATAATTTTCTATGGGAAGAATTAAAAATACTAATATTTTATAAAATTTTAGTGAAAGTGATTCCACTGTCCATTGTTTAACTAGTCAAAATAATTTTTTGTTGTTATTTATCAAATAATATCTTAGAATATTTTAAAGTAATTATTTTTTTATTTTTGTGTTTTGCTCAATTTTTGTTGATGCTTAAATAAAATTTTTAAAAAATATTTTGCTTAAAATAATGAAAATTGTGATATGAAGCTTTTTTTTCTTTCTATTTTTAAAAATTTTAAATTTTTATTTGTCTATTATTAAAATTAAAAATGTTTGCCAGATTATACGGAATTGCTATTATTTGGCTATAAAGTTTAACGATCGAGAACAATTTGGCATTTGGTAATTTCTGCCATCTGTTGACAATTCTTTAAAATTTAAAATATTTGTGAAATAATCAATAATCGAATAATTTTTTGTACGTTTTAATATTAATTTAATTCGGCGAATAATTAATATTTATATATGTGCAAGCTAATATTTTTTACTTTATTAACATTAACCAATTGTAATCAGCGCCATAACACGCATACAATGAAATTTAATTTTTGTTTTCTACTTTGTAATTTTGATTTGTAGAGTAATAAAATATTTTGTAAATATTAATATGGCTTTAAAATTATAAACTGTAATTTTCTAAACAATTTTTCTTTTTCTTTTAATTAACGTGTTTATTTTAAGCGAAAATTGTTCCTAGATGGCGCCACGTGTGTCTGGACTCGAGTTATTGCACAATTTAGTCGGAAACGTTGCAAGTCAGGTCATTTCCGGTTATTTCTTTAAGGAAAGTTGTAAATGAACACAAAGAATGTTGTAGCGATGACGTAGACAGCATTAAAGGGGAGAAGAGGCTGGAAAACGTTTAAAGCTGACAAGTGCTAATGGAAGCGAAGTAAGTAAAACTTTCATGAGTTTTTCGTATTTATTTACGTAAAGTGCAGATGATTTGGTTTAAATAACGATATTTTTTATTACCCCTTTTTTTAAAAAAAAAAAAATTATCGTAACATCGTTTCTATTGTTTTAAACTCGATAATTGTGATTACACGTGCAATAATATAGTTCTTAAAGTTAACGATAGATGGCGACTGTAAGTACCGACAGATTCTTTAATTTCTGTACTAAAAAAAGCAAAAAAAAAAAAAAAAAAAATTTTTAAAAAATATTTTGCTTAAAATAATGAAAATTGTGATATGAAGCTTTTTTTTCTTTCTATTTTTAAAAATTTTAAATTTTTATTTGTCTATTATTAAAATTAAAAATGTTTGCCAGATTATACGGAATTGCTATTATTTGGCTATAAAGTTTAACGATCGAGAACAATTTGGCATTTGGTAATTTATGCCATCTGTTGACAATTCTTTAAAATTTAAAATATTTGTGAAATAATCAATAATCGAATAATTTTTTGTACGTTTTAATATTAATTTAATTCGGCGAATAATTAATATTTATATATGTGCAAGCTAATATTTTTTACTTTATTAACATTAACCAATTGTAATCAGCGCCATAACACGCATACAATGAAATTTAATTTTTGTTTTCTACTTTGTAATTTTGATTTGTAGAGTAATAAAATATTTTGTAAATATTAATATGGCTTTAAAATTATAAACTGTAATTTTCTAAACAATTTTATGTAATACGCGATCGCTCACAATAAGCTGTAGATCTCATCACTTTCCACATGATGATGAGATCATCGAGGTAAACGTCCAGAACTGGTTCAGGTTGCAGGCCGAATTCTANATAACACGCATACAATGAAATTTAATTTTTGTTTTCTACTTTGTAATTTTGATTTGTAGAGTAATAAAATATTTTGTAAATATTAATATGGCTTTAAAATTATAAACTGTAATTTTCTAAACAATTTTTCTTTTTCTTTTAATTAACGTGTTTATTTTAAGCGAAAATTGTTCCTAGATGGCGCCACGTGTGTCTGGACTCGAGTTATTGCACAATTTAGTCGGAAACGTTGCAAGTCAGGTCATTTCCGGTTATTTCTTTAAGGAAAGTTGTAAATGAACACAAAGAATGTTGTAGCGATGACGTAGACAGCATTAAAGGGGAGAAGAGGCTGGAAAACGTTTAAAGCTGACAAGTGCTAATGGAAGCGAAGTAAGTAAAACTTTCATGAGTTTTTCGTATTTATTTACGTAAAGTGCAGATGATTTGGTTTAAATAACGATATTTTTTATTACCCCTTTTTTTAAAAAAAAAAAAATTATCGTAACATCGTTTCTATTGTTTTAAACTCGATAATTGTGATTACACGTGCAATAATATAGTTCTTAAAGTTAACGATAGATGGCGACTGTAAGTACCGACAGATTCTTTAATTTCTGTACTAGAAATAGCAAAAAAAAAAAAAAAAAAATTTCAAAATAAAAGATGTTTGTTCCGTGTGACGTAGAACAGTATAAAGTTTTGTTTATTGTACGCACGAAATAAATGGAGAAAATGAAAGTGAATTTAACAATTTTTTCCCCTACAGGAACTTCCCTTATTCGTTGCATTATAGATTTTCGCGGAATAATAATTTTGTTGGCAGCTGTCGAAATTACATTTTAAACCAATAAGTCATATTTGGTGAAGAAAACTGAGAAGAGATGCAACCGATCTGTTGGTTGGGCGTGAACCCGCAACCGACGGGTTCCCCGGTTTTATGCACTCGACCGGGGCCGTCAAGAGGTGGGACAATGGGGTAAAAGGCGACACAGTGTTGTCCCATTAATTACCATAGAAGGCGGGTGTAGGAGTAAATTCGTCTCCCGGACCTGGCAATGTCCCCACACTGGCCGCTGGTGTGTCCCCGAGCTTACGGGAACATTACGTAATGGCTTTTTTTACTGAAGGAATGCACAAGTAGCACACAGTGTGTGGCCATCTATAAATGATGTGCTAAAATTCCACATTTTTAACCTCCCCTCCTGGTGTGCCACTTGTTATCACATTGGTCGGCATCACCAATTAAGTATTATTACAATGTAAATTCACTGCATCAATTATGTAATGGATATGAATGTAAAATGATTTATTTGCACTTCTATCAAAATAAAACACTATGAGACAATAGCACTACATTAATCATAGTTTTATTTTCGTTACACTTTGCTAGTAAGTTGTTTCACACTGTCGTGGGTTTGTGAGGCATTTGTTTTCAATTGATAGAATGGGAATGCTGGAGACATGTGTGTCCCATGGGTGTGCTTGTCTTGTTATGTCATGTCAATGAGATCTAGCCCACCGGTGGCTGAGTGGATACGACCACCAAACACTGGTAGTTGATTGCTGGCTTGCACTTTGGCAGCAGACTGGCCACGTGGAGTTTTCTGGGTTTCTTCACATTTCTAACACTTAAATAGGAGCCATTTTACAATAAAAGTTCTCCCAGGAGGTATCCCCTTGGCAGATTACCAATGAATTGCACTGCTGTAACCAACTAACCCAAAAATTGACATTACTTACATTACATTTCCAATTAGTGTTCCAAACAAATTCAGCTGTTTCCCTTTATTCCGCAAGAGGTGCTGTAGTCTACGGATTTTGAAATTGGTGTCACTTCTCTCTATTTATTTTCACAATGTTTTCAAATTAAAAGGAAATAAACTTTATTGAATTTTTCAAACTCCTCAAACATTTTTATGAAGACCAAATTCCTTCCCGGATCCCCCAAACCAGTAGGCCGATACTTTGATTGCTTGGCCGTCTGTCCAACTCAAACTTGTGCATTCACACGAGGGCTTAGAGATGCCCCATGCTCGGTTACTTTGGTTCTGTAAAACATGGAGCCAGTTCTAAAGATAAATATCTGACAAGGAAAACTTTTTCTTAATTTTAATTACACTTTGAGTGCTAAGAAATCCCTTTCTTCCATGCCTACTGTAGATTTTGTTACGCCCACAATAGGTAACCCAAGAAGTAAAGATGTTAGGATGCTCCTACAGACAATCTGGATCAAATCTAGGTATTTAAACCTTTGGATACTTTTTGTATCAATAGATACAACCGACTCATCCTTCATCGCTTGGCTACCCCCACCGTGAGCTCGGCTAAGCGAGACCTTAAAAGGATTTCGTTGATTGTGACGGATATGATTAAAAAGCCCTTTCAGCACCGACAAAGTGGGTAGTTAAAACTATGGGGTGGCCAAGCAGCAAAACTACATATTCAAACTAACTCATCTATGAAATTTGAACCGACTCAGGCTAATGCTCTTGCCACGTACAACCACAAAATAAATTTGATTATAGAGAATCGAGCCCATTTTTTCCATTGATTTTAATTAGTGCAAAATGCCGACTAGTTGTTTTTAATACTTCGTACACAGTGAATAGTGAAGATTAATGATAGTTGAATAAGCAGTTATGGTAGATTTATTTAAATGAACACACTTAGGAATTTTAAAATTTCTAAATTTCTTCTGACATATTCTGTTATTCATGATGGTTTCTTTCTTTTGTAGCATGACCTCTAATAACGAACGTGATGTGGAAAGCCTCACTCAGGCCGACTCTTCTGATGCAAATATTCGGGTCGAACAACAGAAGCCCGTTCCGAATCCCAACTTGCTGGTGAGTATGTAAATTAATCGACTAATTTTCGTGGAAAGTTTGGTAAAAATGATATTTTGACTCGATATTTTCCCATCACAATGATTTAAACCTGGATTCCGTAGAGTGGTAAGCTGGCATCTTACTGCATTTACTACTAAAAAGACAAGCCAGAGAATTTATTATTCTGTGATTTGTTTATTTAAATATTTGATCACATGTATAAAATGTTTTAACAATAGTGTAGAACCACCTGTGCATACATGTGGTTCTATAAGAGGAGGAAAAGGAGGAGGTGATACAAACAAGGAATGCCTCTCTACATTACGCGAATTTGTAGGGTCCAAGGTTTTACAAAGCCTCAGAAAAAAATGGTTCCCACTCTTTTTGATTGCCTTAGGAATGAGAACGTGAAGTAAAACAACAACAAAACCAGGAGCATGTATGGTACCAATAGGAGAGGAGTTGGGAAAACAAATGCTTTGTGTAGAGAGAGACAAAGAGGCCGAAGGAATATTTAGATGAAGGCGTGAAAGGTAAAGTGACGACCCCTTTAGCAGAGACTGCATTTGATATGAGTAGCAAGGTTAAATAGAAAGACATGGTACTTGCTGGAAAATATAAGGGAGGATGAGGCTATACAGACAACAAAACAAAAAAAACTATGTATTTGAAAGAAGAGCCAGGAATCTGAGATACTTAGTATAAAGAAAAGCTCAGTCAAGTGCTTTTTTTTTTTTTTTTACTGACAAACTACAAACTCTTGGAAGATGGTGCTTACACACACAAGAATTTGTTAGCTTTAAAAATCGAAAAGGAACTCCTACACTTTAATTTTAGAGTTGTTGTTTGTTAATTGTGCCCCCAAGTACCTTCAAGATTAGCAAGATAATCTAAAAATTAAATTAAAATCAAACATATCTGGAGGTTTGAGGGTTATGTTCAGTAGTGCTACAGAATGCCACAATTTTATTGGTCAGATATATAGACTAACTACATTTTTGTTCAAAACAATTGGTCGTCAATCTTCTCCCAGACAAGAAGAGGTTCCTGGGAAGTTTGATTTTACTCATACAGTCTTCAAATGCATAAACACACAGACTAACGTGACGTAAATTCTACTGCCAAATTTTAATTGGCCCATGTTATGATCCAATTAAATTCTGGCCGTGTCGCTCATTACTAAATTACATTTAAACCGAGCCCAACAAACTTTTTTCTTTATTTTCAGACCAGAATATGTAGAGTATTAACAAAATGGGAGAGAGTCTACATGATTACAGCACTGGCCTTCCTCTCAACCATATGGAGCCTGGCGGCCACGATAGCTTACTACAAATCGTCGGCTTTGGAGTGGGCATTAGCATACACTGCCAGTTAGTAGAATATTTTTTTGGCAATTACAACCGATTAAACTAAGATCTTGATAAGTTTTATGGCACGTAAATCAATAACATGTTACTTTTTAGCATTTTGCCTTTATTATGTCATCCACGGGATCTTAGCAAAGAAGGCATTCGCGTTAATTGGTTTCGCCGTCCTAATTCTCCTCATTCTGGCATATGGCATCATAAATTATGTCTCCGATTCGTCTGATGATCTAAAACTGGTGAGTTGGACTCCCCCCTTTTTTTTTTATTGAAAATTTAATTTTTCTGATATTGAACTAATGATATTTTCAGGCATATCTTATCTTTGTTTGTGTTCTTGGTCCTGTGTTTATTGTAGCAACCTTAAGGTTTAGCTACAGATACTATTCAAGTGGCATCATAATTCAATATATGGTGGGTGCCAATGAATATCTACAGTCTTTATGTAAAATGATGATGCTCTGCAAAACTCTCTTGGTGTTCGATTTTCATATGCAGGTAAATTTAAATAAGTTTCATTAAAGACGTGTAAAGTGTAAAGCTTGGTACATAAATCTGGTCCATTCTAAGCATGTATATCCTGTGCGGAATCCGATCAGGTCTGTTGTTAGGCAGACACTTTCTCAAGGGATTGTGATCCAAATCCATAATTTATTGCAGGTGTACATTAATGCATCTTGGCTGGAGCTAAATGCAACTGAAGTGGAGTTCTGGAATATTTAGACCCAAAAACTGGGTCATAACCCTGTTATTCCTATAACTTTAAGTTGGCCAGCACGAGATAATTGGACTCTGGATATCAAGAGCTCAATAGTCTGGGAGTAGTGTGGGCTCCTTTTGCCATTTTTTTAAATAAATGAAATACATAGGATGTTTGCTTTTTTATTACAGTGGAACCTCGCTTAATGAGCATAATTTGTTCCAGAATCTAACTCGTAATGCAAAACACTCGTTAAGCAAACAATTTTTCCCATAGAAATTAATGTAGTGTGTTCCATGCTGAAAAAATACTCAAATATTTTATGTATAATGTTTATTCAAAGAAAATTATACAATATATGTTAAGGCGCGTGAATAGTCATTATCATTTCTTTTAGCATGGAATGAACCAACCTGGATGCGAATTCGATTTGCAATAAACAAAAATTCACAGATAATATGTCTGATAAACACGCTAAATGATATGCGAAATTCTTGGGTAAAGACTATAATTAAATATTAGAAATTAATTAATTTGACTAAAGGTAGGCAGTTATACTTCAATCTTGTATTTAAATTTAATAATTTAGACCAATTCCAAATTAAAATGTCATTGAATTTAGTAAGAGATGGCAGCATAACTGCCTACCTCTAGTCAAATTTCTAATATTTAATTATAGCCTTTACCTAGGCCAAGAATTTGGTGTTCATTATATAACAGTCGATGTTTATACATAATATTTGTGAACACAAGTACGGATAAATGTTTGATCACGAGTGACACTAAGATGCTAGCGGAACAAGTGCTAAACACAGACTAATGGAGCATGCGCACAATCCAGGATGTCTCCTCTCATCATCGTTCGTTAAGCGAGTAATTTTTTTACAATTTGTTTTGCTCGTTGTGCAAGGTGCTCGTTAAGCGAGGTTCCACTGTACTAGAAAGCAGTCTTAAAAAATTGTTTTTAAAACAAAAAACATGAAGGTGGGAATAGTTATAGGTCCCAAATTTTCTTTGGACCTGGTGAAAAATTGCAAGCTTCTCCTCTCAAAGCCATGACTGGGCTTGCTTGCGCAATTACACAAATCGATAAGAATTTTGTTATCACGAAACACCAGCACAACCCTTGTTGGATGTAATTTTATGTACTGAGATTTATACTACGAATGTTTTTTTGGTAATAGAATGGGGCCGTCCGACCTTTTTGAGAATTATGAGCTACTTTTTTTGGGGAATGTCATAGCCTATCTGTACATTTGTTTTGATGCAACTGTTAAAACTTTAACAGTTGCATCGTATCGCATTGCATGTACTAACCTCTGATTTCATTGTATTTTTGTTAGAATCAACTACAAAAAAAATTTACATACATTGGATGGAGAGCTCGCAAATCAACCGGTCGGGCAGCCCCGTAATAGACAAACCATTAAATTCTTTAAACAAAATTGATTTTATAGGTCAACTTGGTCCTTCTAATTGCAGCGAATGGATCGGATGCCGTCCACTCTGATAAGATCGTTTTGGCACTCACATTCATATTTATAGCAATTGGAAACAGAAGCGTAAGTATTAGTTTTCGAATATTTCAAAGCAAACAAAAATCTTTTTTAAGTACTGAACTGTTTTTTCTTTTTTCCAGATAATATATGAGAAGAAGGTATTGGTATTTCTCTTCTTGATCCTCAGCATTTCACAACCCGTTTTTACCATTTACATATTTCATGTGGCAAGTGTAACTTTAATCGAATTACATAACCTTTCTGAAATACGAAATTTAATTCTCTTTTTCTCGTGTTGCCATAGGCGAAACGTCAATTCGAAGTTCATCCCGCTCAATACATCGCCATCTATTTGGCGGGAGGATTGGGACTGGTGGCTTGGTTTTCTTCTGTAATTTGCATAGGCTTTGTCACAAAAAACTTTGGAAAAGGATTGAAAGAAAAAGGTAAAGTTTAGAATAAGGAATTTTTAAAATCAGTCAAATCAGTCTTTCGGACCTAAACTTTGGCCATCTTCAGCAAATTCCATTTATACAATTAACACATTTACTGTAAATAATTCACCGGGATGCTTTGTTTATTGAACTATTTAGTCTTTAACAGTTAAATTGCTCAAATCTGGTAACTGACAGGCTTTTTGGCCATCTTCGGCTTAAATCCAAAATTTTTGTCCTGATTTTTACTCATAACAAGCATCTAACGATTTTGCAAGATACCACAGTATCTCACTACATGTCAAATCCGACATACATAAACAGACACACACAGTACAAAAATTTGTTCTACAACTGTTTCATATTCCACAGTTATATCATCAACACTATCTTAATCTTCTTTAATTAAACATATAATGACTGTTTAAATTTAGTGGCTGACATATGTGAAGTGGGCAGTGAGAAAGTTCCTGGAACTGTGGTAGATAACTGTAATAGTAAGATTTGAAAACACTTACCTAAATCATCTTCAAAATAGGGGCCTACACACACACTTTCCACCATCAATCCTGCCACTGTTGGAAGCACCGTCAGAAGACTTCTTTTGGAATATTCAGAAGTTTGGTCGTCGCATTCTTTGACATGGAGTGTGTTACTGGTCATTCTTACATGCAAGTACAGGTAACCCCCGTATAACACGGTACTTCTATAGCACGGATTTGCTCTAACACGGTTCAAGAATTGCTACCATCCCCCGTATAACACGGTACTTTTATAACACGGATTCACTCTGACACGGTTCGAGAAATGGGTAAAACCCTCGTACAACATGAAATGTAATAAATTTTTACATACTTAAGTACTAATAGTTCACGAAAATTATTATTTTCGTGAACTATTAGTACTTCAGTGTGTAAATTTTTTTTTCTCATCTCCATACACATGGTCCTTCTCGAAACTTGTTTCAATGTTGCCATATCTCGACGCTTCTGCTTCTGTGTTGCCAGATGTTTTTCCCTTATTCCATAAGTGCTTAGCACCATATAAGGAAATTTACAAAGATCTTTTAACTAGAAGCAAGCAATCTAAAATTACATACACTTTTTGCAAAAGGTAAAGCATGAATCTGAAAATAATGCAGAAAAATGCTCAAAGGATAACTTGCCAAAAATAAAACGCTCTCGATCAATAGTGCTTTTAGTGGTGACAAAGAAAACATTGTTTAATTTATATTACCATAATATGTATTATTTAAGAAAATTTTAATAAAGATATTTATCTTAATTATGAAAATACAGTAGCACGTTTTTTAATTTCTGGAACCTAACCCTCCTTTTCGTACTAGTTCTTTGTTTTGCATAACACGGCAATTTTTTGGAACGTAACTACTGTGTTATACGGGGGTTACCTGTATTGCATAAGTTGTTGGATGCATCTCAGAGGAAACAGAACATCGAGTGGCTGGAAGGGTGGTTCTTGTATCACAACAACAACAAATCACTTGTTGTGCAGCAATTCTTCACTGCAAAACACTTCTTGTTGTCATCCAACTACCATAATCACTGGATCTTGCTCTGAGTGACTTTTGTCAATTTCCTACCAAAAATTAGTCTCGGGAGACACGTTTCACAACAACCACGATTGGATGCAATGGCCAAACTACCGAATATTCCACAGAAGCCTTCCGGCAGTGCTTCCAACAATGGCATGAGCAATGGGGTGAGCATATGTGTGTGCTGAAGAAATTGATAGGAAATATGGAAACACTTACCTTATCATTAGTGATCTATTATAGTTCCAGGAGCTTTCTGACATGGCAAAAACTATTAGACCTACCAGTCTCAAATTGTAAAAATCAAAGAATTCTTTTAAAAAGGAACAGAAGGTTGTGATAACCATATCTTATTAAGACATCAAAGTAAGAAAACACTTTTATTTAAACCTTTTTATTTTTTTATCTAATACTTTTTCTTTTTGCCAAAGACTATTAGACCAGGTGGAAAGTTTCGCCCTTAGACAAGTGACTTGTACAGAAAATGATAGTCAAAATATCTGCATGAAATGTTACCTGTTTGGGTTAGCAAATGTAAATGTTGTCAGAGTAAAGCATGGCATGAGATAAAGGACAGAATTGTAATGCAACCGTTCACAATGAGAAGTGCTCTCAGATGTTTGGTCATTAGTAAAACTGCAGTCTGGCATAATCTAAAGAAACTTAAGAAGAGACTGTTATCTATGTAAATTGCATTGCATCCTCTTACAAATTGTTAGTTCTTTCATGTAGGCTTTCCATTTTACTGTGCTCTATATATCAAGTAAACCTAAAAGGAAGCCTCCCATCACTTATGCACAAGCCAGAAAATGTCTCGTGTGGGCAAAAGAACATGAAGCTGAACAGTAGGTAACTGGAAACAGGTTATCTTATCCAACACGGTAGAATTTGTTGATTACAGTGATAATGTTGGTCAGCAAGTGAAGAGAAAATCTGAAGCATTTAACCTGATTGCATGTGGTTTACTGTGAAGTTTCCAAAATCTCCCATACAGCCATACACTATGTAGTTTGCATGGAACAATTAATTCTGTTGTGTATTAAAACATTTCTGGAATGTAAGTTAATTCCCACTATAGAAGATAATTTTCAAGATGACATGTTTTTGTTTCAGCAAGAGTATGCATACCGCCATACCAGTAAAAAAAACAAGTAATGGCCAGTAGAGAACAACATCTCATTGTTAGTTCTGGACTATTTGGTGGCCATTGTAAGACTTACAGAGACATTAACAGAAGCTGTGGGAAAAACTTCCACAAACAATACCCGAACCAAAAATTGCAACAATAGACAGCCAAAGGGAAATCGCACCACTGTGTGAAATTTAATTGCTGAAACTAAATTATTACACCCAAGCTTTAACTATACATTATTGGATAATGCTGTAGTTTTCCTTATTAGTCAGGTTGCAGCAGACATTTTCAATGCGAAAACGTGTATATCGGACGTTCAGCGCTGCCTCCCTGTAAGCCTGAAGTTTGACAATGGCATTTGGAATATCAGTGGAATCAATGCCATTGTCAAACTTCTAGGTTTACAGAGAGGTGGTGCTGAACTTCCGACATACGTTTTTGCATTGAAAACGTCGGCTGCAACCTCGCTATTGTTAATCATTCTCTTCTGGGCTACGTCCAAATTAAAGCTTATGCCTCAATGACAAATTCTCTTCACTAATTGTGCTGCTATCTTGTATTAATGTGAATTATTACGTATTTTAAAAAAGACCTATTCTAAGCAAGGCTTAAACTCACAAATAAGGACAGATTCATCTCTATGTGACTAACCAGGGACTAGTACTATAAAAGGACTCTGTAATTACTTGCTAAAATGAAATGGTTATGTATTAGTTCAACCGGAAAAGTACCCCATCTAATTTATGGGAAATGTGGGTTTGAGATTCAATTTATTGACTAAAAATCTAATCTAAAAATACCTAATACTCCAACAGTTATTTAGACAAGCGTTTCTCAGCCTTTTTCTCATTGCGGACCAGTAAATTAGTGAAACAATGAATTATGCTTATCTAGAGTTACCGCACGTAACAAAGTATGCATGGTAACTCTGGATTACTATTTAAATGTCCCTCGCAATCAACTTGTGCTACTGTCTGTATGATAAAACTTGTTCGCAGACAAATGGTCGAGAAACACTGATACTTAACCAACTATATTGTCTAAAGGTTTTCTTTTCAAGCTATAATTAGCCTATTTAATATTAATTCAATTTATAAGTGTTTAGAATATTTACTAAAAGTTATAACAATTTTTCTCCAAACAGTTACTGCAGTTTCCAATGTTTTGTAACTTTGGAACAGGAATCTCAAACAATTTGTAAAGCAGTGAAAGTAGAGAAGTCAAAGAATTAAATTGTTACATTCCATATTCTATTTGTTGAATGGTTCAAATTCACAAACCAATTTCAACTTATCTTCATCAAACCAGATATAAAGAAAATGAAGGCCAATCCAAGGGGAGAAAATCAATTATATTTTATATTGTACTCGACAATCAAGTTTCCATCGTTATACGTCTGTTACAATTTCGGCCACTTACGAAAGTCACGCACCATAGAAGATTGTACAGTGTACCGGTTGTACTATGCATCATTTCAGGTCTGCAATACTGCAAACAGAAATTAATTGCACGGTTCTGTGAGCGACTGCTATTTTGCAAGGATTGAACTTGTTTTTTTTAATACTCAATACACTGTGTTCTTGCTATTAAGTTTAATCTTTGCAACGTACCAATTACTTTTGACCAATGTGGCATGGCTGCACAATTCTAAGGCAATTCGACCTTCTCCACACAATTTCTTATGATGTGTGACTTGGTTTCTTTGGATGATATTTTACGTGAAACGATATAATTGTAATCACATATACCTAGATTTTTTTTGTGTGAAAACTGTTTTATGAAAAACAATTTTGTATTTATATATTTTTGGTATTTATATATTTTTTAATAAAATTGATTTTTTTAATTAATACCTGCATGAATTATTACTTTAGAAATTAGATGAAAAAAAATGTTATAAATAACTGCATTTGTGATCACTTGTAAAGCGTCGTCCCTTGCTACAAGGATTGGGTCATTCTGGCTAATGCTGCATGACAAAATCTAACCATATAAAAATTTGAGCAATGAGTGCCTGTTTATAATAACATGATGCAGTTGTACATAGAAGGCTTTTCTTTCCATAAAGGATGTTTTTATAAATTTCCGAATGAATAATTAGATATATTATCATTGATACCAATTGAAAATATATTTTATAACATTACTTACAGATATTGACATATGTAACACAAGTTAAAATCTTTGGAGTTGCAAAAGATACTTCAGATATGATCTTAGTCATAAAATTTTCACAAATATATTAAATTTCCTTACATATTTATCACAAGGAGTCGTAAAAATCTAAATTTACGAACACTTAAATGCTTTGGAAAGCAAATCTCTTCAGATCATGACGAATGACAATTCTTATATATACAGCTGAACCCATCTAACACATTATAGGGAAACGTGTTAATATCCAAAAAGTAAAGGTTAGAAACACTTTTTATGAATATTTTGCCATTATGCCACACTCACAGTTGAAACGTATCCCCACATCATAGAGCATTTGCTGTAGTATATATATATATATATATATATATATATACAAGTACAAATTCACCACCACTTTTGAGCACTGATGATCCAGCATCTGTTTTTCAATCGGGACAGAATTACAAGAGTATGCTTAAAATCCCACAGCCGCCAGACTCGTTCATCAAATAACTCGCAATTGGCATTATTCATAGCTTTCGGACACATCAATTATTTTGTGCAATTTTTACTCTTATCCAGGATTTTCATTTTAGGATTAAATGAAAACCATAGATATGGTTTATAAAAAGTGACAGACATTACTTAAACACCATTCCACATTTAATGTATACATAAGTTTTTTAGTAGTCCATAAATAGTCTGCTTAATAGGAACAGAAGTATATAATTAGCTGTATGTTATACTGTTATTTTGTGACCGCGACTGATCTAGAAAAACTATTAAGCTAGCAAGGTTTCGGAATCAAGCATGCTGGAAAAATCAGTGGTCAAACTGTGCGTGTAATTACATCCAGATTAAATATTAAAACGTTACATTTTATAACAATTATACTGAGAGAGGCCAAAAGCCAGCATCTAAAATTCAAAATACGACTTGCAAACAGATCTTGTTTCCTGTGTTGTCAAACCGTGATAAGACAGACTTTAAATAGCACTACCCATGTAAAGTGCCAGTGAATATCCATCAAGGGATCTTTTCTATGTGAAACAGAACCCTTTGGTATTTCAATTACTAAATGCATTGCCAAATGTAACATAATTTGGCAATAAACTTGGAAATCCTGTATGTAGACTCTTACACCCTGATCACACAGGCTGTTAACAGCAATTAGCAGGTTATGCTGGTTAGTATTTGCAGTCTGACCCTTCAAGTTAACAAATAATATGACAAAGCAATTATCCAATACCTTAGAGGTATACTTATTCTGCAACTTTGTTTTTAATCATAATAACTTACTTAATAGTTGATCACACTACAATTATTTGTTAGTTTTACTGTGTTAACTTCCTGCCATTAGCATGTAGTACGGCTTAGGTATTATTGATAAAATTACTATAATTTCCTGCTTATAACCTTTGTGTTGTATGTGTCTTAAAGTCATTTAAAAGCAGGTGGAAGATTTCTAGCAATTTTACGGGTTATACACGGGAAATTATGGTACTCTGTTACTATCGCGCATGAATATAAACCAATTTTTGAGACAAATTGCAGCACTAAATCAAAGTTTGACTATATTTAAAAATGTAGATAATAGGGAATTTTAACACCACAACTTTTGAAATTCTGCTATTTCTCGTTCTTTGAAGATACATTTGGTGTTATCTTGGAATACACAACTCTTTTGACAAATCTTTCTAATACTGATTAATTCTCAAATCATTAGCTCATAACAGTCATCCAGTTCGAATTATATTAGATTTTCATCATTTAGCAATCGGTGTCGTGGAGTCGGAATCAGTAAAACTCTTCTAACTCTAACCTCTAAAATTTCTCTGTACCTGGTGGTATAGTCTTACAAAAGGATTCATGACATTTAAAAAAAAAAAAGGGAAAGTCATAGTTACACATTTCTTTTACCAACTCCTCCACACCGCAACAACACTGAACTATATTATCAACTAATACATTGCTTGTCGTGCTTGCAGTCTTATTTTGAAAGTAATGACGAGACTTGATACCGAGTATGTGTTTTTGAAATTATCTATCGCATTGTTTCCCAAAGTGGAGACCACTGGGAATCTGCCAACAAGTCAAAGGATCAGCAAAACATTTGGCAGGTATCTGGTGGTAAATGTATTTTCTTAGAACATTCGTAATAAAAATACCAATATAGAAAACTCCTTATAGTATCAAAAATAAGAATCTCAAGTTCTTTCAATCCACATCACTAATTCGTGTTTATACTTTGTTTATGAATCATTCCATGTAAAGCAATCGATACTGTACAAAGTTATTTATATAAAACAAGAACAAAGCTGAGTTGTTTCACAGCCTAAACTAAATTTTCTTTCCAGAATGTTCATACATACATGCAGACATCTAGAGATTCATGAACATTTTTTGAAGAAGTCCATAGATCATTACAGATCTCTTCATATTGTATACTTATACAGTGCAATTCAAAAACAATTACCATAGATATAAGTGAACCCTACAAGTCACAGAATATGATTTACAGTACATTTAGTTAACTTGCATTTCACGTATATGTTACGGACTAAGTGATTAATATGGGTATTATTCATAATGACAAACAAAATCGGGCACTGTAATAAATTATGGTAAAAACACCTGAAATTTATCAGATTGATTGGTCACTATGAATACTGCTATCACCTGGTCGGACAAAGTGATGATAATATATAGTAGTACGTTATTCGTACCAAGTAATATTAAGCAGTAAAACTCACTGTGTGTGGCGTTATTAAAAAGCGTTTTTCATTCGAGCACTTATTACATCACATTTGTAACATCGTACGTGTTTGAAAATTCGTACCATGCATTCGCCATATTATATCACATTCGTATCATCGCACGTATTTCAAAAACGTAGCGGTATTTCATGTTGAATGTCATCCAAAAAATCATTTTATTTAAATTTGTATGTGTTCTTCTCTGTCTCGAATGTTCGATATAAAAGTATCAATATCTTATTTGCCCGAAGACGATGGAAATACATTCATCGAAAGCACTCAAATGAAAAACGCTTAATAATGCCGCACACAGCGAGTTTTACTGCTTAGTGATGATAATACCTTGAGAAGTGATCATCCGACATACACTAACCAATCAGCACTCGCATCTGAGTTGCGTGTGTGTATTGCATTTAGTATTAAATTTTAAAACCATGTGATTAGCAAATTTTGTGCGATGTTTTAATTTTACCTTTGCCTCTTAAAATAGGGTTTTCTTTTTTGAAAAAGTGACGATCATGGAGCAATCATTAGGTGATATGAATAGCCGCTTTAACGACTGATTAAATGAGTTAGAAGCAGCAAAAGGTCAAAACAGTCAAATATTCACAAAAATCAGTATATTTGACAATGATATAAAATGTGAGAGTTAAAAATCAAATTGACTTCAAAGTTGCCAGAAGAATATCAGCATTTACATAGATACGATGCTGTATCTATTGGAGAAATAGAAAAATTAATTATGCCTGTAAAAGAAGCTAATACGATTAAATATTGTGTTTGCACTGAAGAAATATTTCAGATATTGCTATTGACCATGGCAGCAGAAACTGTATGGAAAAAGAATTAAGTATAAAGTATAAAATTATTACAAGGGATACGAGATATGATCATAATTTACTTTAACTTCTAATTTTTTTTTTCTGACAAATTTCACATAATGTTCCTAAGAAAGGCTTGGTAATTAAACCAATTTTAAGTAAAGAAATGAACTCAAAATGTCAGGTTGACCTTATAGATATACAGTTGCAAGCTGATGAGTAATAAATTTATACTCGTACCAAGACCACCTGACTAAATTTGTTCAACAATGACCATTAAAAACCAAAAGGGCTGAAGATATAGCCTGTGTTCTTTTAGATATTTTTACAATTTTTGGTGCATCGAGTATTCTACAAAGCAATAAATGCATAGAATTTTCCAATAATGTCATCAAAGAACTGTGTAGTATGTGGTCTGAGTTAAAATTGGTGCGTGGAAATACCAAACACTCAAAGTCAAGGTTTGGTAGAAAGATGTAATCAAGACAGAAAATACACTTAGTTCTTGGTGACTAACAACACAAACAAATGGTCGGAAGGATTACGTTTTGTACAACTGATGAAAAATTGAGCGCATAAACTGCAACTCCAATGAGATCATGTTTGGAGCAAGTTAAAAGTTTGACTAAATAATTTTATACCCGACGAATCATTGACTAACATTAATACAGAGGAAGATTTAAAAACTCTCTTTAAAACTAACAAGAATGAATTTTTTATATAACAAAAACGATATTCCAGACTTTTCCTTTAAGCCGAGTTTTTAATTGAAGTATAAATTTGTTAATAATATACAGTCGACCCCCCTATAACACTGTTGATTATTCCGTTTTATATGAATTCCACGTTGTACGAGTCGCCTTAGATTTTACAAATACATATGCAGGGCTGTAAACAGCTCACGTATTTGTAAAATCTAAGTGACTTGTACAACATTAAATTCATATAAAATGGAATAATCAACAGTGTTATAGGGGGGTCGACGGTAGTTACTTTTAAAAGATCTCATGTTGTTTTTAAAATACTCTGAAATAATTCACAACAAATAAATAATTCTTAACGAAAAAGGTGGAGATTAAAAAAAAAAATCAAAATTGCCTAAAGGAAATTTAGCTGTATTCATAATGTCTGGTCAATTTAATAAATTATCAATATTTATCAGGCTGCACGGCCATTTTAGTCATTATTCATAATGCCCTATTAATCACTTGGTCCATAACTTATATACAAATGTTTTCCTCCCACCTGTAGTGTTAACACATTTAACGTTACAAACACACGCACAACACATCTTCCATTGGGTGATCCGTGTTTAGTACAAAGACTGAATTATATTCATCAAAAAAAATCTGATAATTAAAACTATACAGACTTTGACCTCTCTCAGCAACAATCAATATTTTTTAAAAATAAAAATATATATATAAATACTTTACCGTGTTTACTTTATCAATGCTGTATCAAGTCAACAATTTCTTTTAGGAACATTTTGTTGTATTTATATGTGTATAAATAATAAATTCATTATATAATTCAATACGAATCATCATAAATTATATATATTTCGCACGGTTTTCCTCAGATCAGATACGGCTCTATCGATATCTTCGTCTCTCGTGTCTCGTCCCGTCGTCAGTCTCAGAGTGCTTTCCGCCAATTCTCTCGGAATTCCCGACGCAATCAGTATGGACTGTTTGCTGCAGAATTTTATCTATTTTATAAGAGTAGAATTAAGATTTTGATTAAGTATAGTAGAACAAAAATTACCTATTGTTACTATGACAAGCCGCTCCCACGCTTGCTTGAATCGTGCACGTTTTTTCTAAGATATCTTGGCCTAAACGTTAAAAAAAGAATTATTAAATAGAAAAATCAGTCATCCTGTTGTTTAGTAAAGAACATAAACGTGATCAACCTTTCATTTTGTTGTTGGTAAATGCCACACTGCAGGTATTGGGGAGTCTCTCAGCTTTTCCGTGATTATTAAAACTTACCAACTCTCCGAACGCCTCCTGAAAATAATGCATAAGAGATGAGAATGTTATTGTTTTTGAATTGTTTTTCTTTTATACACTATTTATAAAGATAATTCATGAAATATTTGAGAGACTAACTTAAAATCAATTGCAAGTAACTAGAAAGGGGAAAAATTTTTAGCAAATAGTGTGAATTTAAGTTTATTTGACCCGCCTTCACCTTCCTTGTAATGTTATAAGAACAGAAAGAAAATGAGGAGAGGCCAACTGAAAAATGAATGATTCAAAAAGACAGGCTGGACAGGATTTGGGATAGATGCTGCATGAGAGGAAGAGGGGATGAAGTGATGTCTTCTATATAGACTTGTCATCAATCTATCTTGATTTCTTTCATTTGAAATTGATTTAGGTAAAGTTTGAATAAAAGTATAGAAGCAAACCAAACTTTTCTTTACTTAGAAGCATCTTTATCTTTCCTTTGAGATATTCAGGAACATGTCTAAAGCATATTTTAACTCTAAAAGATTAGATTTTACAGATATAAACTTACCTTCAATTTATTTTCCAAGTGATCTCTAGATTTTGTCATATTTTTCTGATAAATGTCTAAATTTCTTACAATTAATTCTGCTGCCTGAAAGAAAAATAATTTGTAAATATTAAAAGTTCTATGAAATTGTAGAATAAACAAGAAATCCCACCTTTCCTAAACCTGCAATCATCGCAACATTTTCTGTCCTATTATGATGTCAGCATTAAATTTCGTATAATGTTTTTAAGTGCAATGTGCATATTTAACTCTTACCCGGGTCTGTAACTTCTCTCTTGTCCTCCCCCGAAATACATTGGATAAAGTATTTTGTCTTTGTCCGAATTAAAATACAATGCTCCCACTCTCGGTCCATAAAACTAAACAATAATTTCTTATGTGAAGTTGTTAGTTTGTTATAATGTAATTTGCTACTTTCCGACATACCTTGTGACCTACGATGGTTAGAAAATCAACATGCAGATCGTCTACGTTCACGGGGATTTTACCTAGTGCTTGTGCGGCATCGGTGTGAAATAAAATTGGCGGCAACGAAGAGGAAAGCTGGCTTCGTTGACAATTCAGCTGCTGTATTTTCTTCCCCAGTAACGATATCGGCTAAACACGCTAAAAGTTACTACAAAACAAGACTTTTCTTTACGAATTTACAAATACTTACCTGTATAATTCCAGTTTCGTTGTTAGCCAGCATGACTGTGATGAGACAGGTATTTGGCTGAATTTCTTTCGTTACTTCTTCCACTTCTACGGCCGCAGTTTGTTTTGAGACGGGTATGAATGTAACTTCTAAGAAATACATTAACACTTCTTAGATCTGTCGTCCCTTCTGGCCAAAACTGAATTTACGTTAACGCTTACCTACAATACCTTTTTCCGACAGATGTTTAAGCGGTAACGCAATAGAATCGTGTTCTATATTTGTAGTGATGATATGGGGTAAGAATTTTCTTCTTTTTGTTGTATTTTGGCTATTAACTGCATTGTTGTTATGATAATACTGGATTGCTGAATGTATGACTAGATTGTTGCCCTTGAAATTTATATGTAAAAAATTAATTAAACTACTACATCATTACTTGGATTAGTTTCTATTGTAAAAGTAATAAAAAAAAACTTAATTTTGTGACAAAAATACAACATTTTTTTGTTATATTTACTTATATATTAATTCCAATATGTGAAACTTTTGTATTATTTGAAATTTTGGAACAATTCTCAGTTTTTTTTAATTGTTTCAATAGGGCCGGCATGAACTTTGGCAGGGCCACGTTGTAAAATTGTGCAGGGAGGATAACCCGCATTTATATCTACCTCTGAATTTTATAATAATTCATTTATTACGAGTAGATACTTACAACTTATTGTTAAGGAAAATTACATATTCTAGAACTGAATTTACTGTACATGTATTGAGCTATGGGACATTCGAAGCATGGGGCCAAGTTATAGGAAACATGCAAAATCTGCTTTGTGCCAGCCCCAAATTTCAACACAATTATTCATTTGAAGCACAGAAATTCATTATAAAATGCTTAGAAGCTTGTCAAGACCAGAGAGGCTCAGACTAAAGAATTCTAACCCATATTCACTGTCGTATCTACAAGGAATCAGCAAGTCAAGTTGATTCCATACAAACTAATGTTACAAATTTAGACAGTGAGAGCGATTATGTATAAACAACACTATTGCATTTTTGTTTTCTCAACATGATTTTCTTTACTGTAAGAATATAATCAACTGTAATTTTGTGTAAATAACTATTTGTGCCCAATAGTAGAAATGGATAAGACGATAAGACAATGTTTAGTTGCAAGGTGTGAACACTGTGCTTGGGGACACTAAGAGTTGCAATGCCCAATTGACTTGTCAGAGGCCACAAACTTATTTATTTAGAGTTTTAATTGTTATCCTTTGAGTCCATAGTAAATAAATATTTTAGATTTAAATAGTTCTCACAACTTGTAGCAGTCTGTAACAAGTATGATTGGCTCGTAGTGTTACTGATTATACTGCTCTCGAGTGAAGTTTTCTCCTTTCGCCACCCATTATTCTAAAACTCAGAAAGATATATCTTCAGATAATGTTCTTACAGAATTTATCATTCTCACTTATATGTAAGTAAAGTATTAATGTCAAGATTTCAAAGAAATAAAGGGGTCTTCCAAAAGAGAATGCTACCATTTTAAATTATGTGATTACGTTAATTATTGACTCGAACGCACAATCGATAAAGTAACTATTTGAATTTCACCTACCAACCAGCACACAAATGTCTTTTTCTGCCGTTTCTATGAGGTGCCATAAACAAAAATGATGACACCACAACAGAGAAGGAGCTTTGAGTTCTGGTATCCATAAATTTGGAGTCAGTTATCATTGTGCAATATGACTTCTGACAAATGGTTTAGTTTTGAAGACAATTTCAAAGTGATCCCCAAGTAAGGCAAACATTCTTTTCGCGCAATGACTAATTTCAAGTTCGTGGACTGCAGAATACAAAATGCCTTCTTTGTTGCGGAGTCACCGTTTTTGTTTACGGCACTTTCTAGAGACAGCAGACAAAAAGACATTTATATGCAGTGGTAGATGAAACTTGGACAGTTACTCTATCGAATGAGAAACATTGCATACTTCTCGGGTGAAAATTAACATAATTACAATAATTTAAAATGGTAGATTCATTTTAGATGACCCTGTATACATAAATAAAATGTTTAAAACAAATTAAATAAAAAACAAAACTAATGCTCTTTGATTCACTGCATGTAATTATGACTAAATAAATGTGATAAATACTTTTAATATCATAAATAATTTCATTATTTGTGAAATATCAAGAAATTAGAGAATCCAAAAAATAAAATATTAACTTGTTAGAGATAAAAGCTCACCTCGGTACCTCCCGATGTAAATATAATATCTGTAATAAAGAAAGATATGTTATGTAATATACATAATTTCAATTTATAGAATTATCTATAAGACTTTTATATTATATAATAAGGTTATCAAGGAACTCATTCAACTTATTTAATACATTTGGTAACTTTCCTAATACTCAATCTAACGACATCATTCAATTTAAATTTCCTCTTATGACAAAAGGATTAGTTTTGATCGTATAATATTTTGACTTCATTAAAGATTTCCGACCACTCGATGATAATATTCCGCAAGTTCCTTAGTACCCATAGGGTGCTACGAGTATTAAGGCCTTTTAATCGCACCCATTGTAAATTCGGCTAAGCCCACAATGGGAACAGTTGAGAGATGAGGGGTGGGATCCAACATACCCAAGACAGACCAGCTCCCAAAAAATTCCCAGGGTTACTCACTCAGATTTGATTCTGGGACCCCCAAAGTAGTATGCTGATGTTCTAAGCACCTCGCCCATCAATCCTTTCTTTTAAATTTAAATAAATGTAAAAGTAAATGTGGATTTGTTTAAAAAAAAGAACCTTAACTCTTTGATTTTTGGAAGTGATATAATGTGGTCTTGTGAACAGTATGAATGTATGAAATTTAAATTTTGCCTGGATTCTGAAGTTTTCTTGCTGCTCGTGGGGTGGTGTTGAATTCATTCTTTGGCCAGTAATAAATAATAAATTTTTAATGATTAATGTGGACTTATTCTTTTGCATAGTGTCATTTTTCATCTTTGCGTGAATTCCGAGGTTCCATTGCAGCTCACTAGGCAACATCGAAGTTGGTAACGCTAGAGTAACAGCATTTTTTAACTATTTATTGTAAACTTTTATGATTAGTGAATCAAAAATACCTCCAAAACGTAAAATAAGTCTAGAAGCATCTAGAAGTGGCTAGATTCGCTATTACATTCTACATACAAATGTACTTTTTAGGTTTAGTTTTTGATTTACAATAAAATCTCAGAAACCTAACCTGTTCATAAAGTAGGGGAGCACACGTATTTACGAGAGTTCGATATGATTTTTAAACAGAGCATAAAATTTATAAAAATATTAAAAAATTTCTAACTTAGAATATTCAATTTAATATAGGATTTACAATAACTGAATTATATTTATAACTTTAAAAATTAGCTGACCGACAGTCCTTCATTGTCGGTTCTCATCTAAAAATAATTATTTTTTTAAAACTATGTGTGTAATATGTAGAAAAAAGGCGGAGAAAAGAAGAAGGAAGCATTTGTATATTGTATGGACACCATTACTTACTATGAACTCAAGAGAACATTTGAATTTCTAAGATATTAAAAGTTCATAAATAAAATTTAATTTCTTTTTTATACTTGTATGAACAGAACATTAAGATAAATGCCTTAAAGATTTTGTGGGATTATCTGAAGAGACCGAATTCTAAGCATGCTCGAATGTCTCAGAATATTTCCCTCTGATAATTTTAAGACAATTCTTCTGTGTGTGACATGCAGACTTTGGAGCGCCAGTTATTTAGTAAGTTTGTAAACAAATCTTCGTAATGCACAGATTTTCACAAACCGGTGCTTTAATTCTTTTATAACTTTTCTTCTTTATATAAATTTCCACTGTGAAAATTCTCTGTTCTGTAGTGTAGGACATTTAGTTTGCACTCAGGAATTAGTGACGCGTGACAAGTCAGTCGAGCATCACCGGTTTGCAAGTTGTTTTTTCATTTGATCACCCGTTAAATTAATGATTGTTGATGATCTTCTATAGGCCCACCAAGTGACCTCATTATTAATTTTACTATTATGTATTTTTTTTTTTTTTAATTCAAAGTTTCTACAGTACGTTGTAGATTCCATGAAAGACTAATTTATTAGAAACAAGAACTAATTTTTATCATTATTTCTTATCATCAGTGTGTATTAATTTTCATATATAAACACCCCAAAGCCCAATATTTTAGTAACATGCCAAATGACTGCCAGATTAAAATCAGTAAGTGGGAGTTGTGGGTTTGAGTCCCACTCCGGGAAGATTCTTTTCTTCCAGAATATTCTAAATTATTTATTAAATATTAATTTAATTACAGTTATTAAATTTAATAAGAGATGGTGCCTAATGCCTACCTCTAGTACCAAATTATTTAGAATTTAATTAAAAATATAACAGTAAAGTAGCCCAATTTAATCCTACAGGTCACTTGGCATGTTTTAAATTTCTAACCTTAACCTTTTTTTTATTATTATGCTAGAATTAAAATGATTAATTTTACATTAAGGTAATCATCTTTTTATTCTTCCCCTATTAAGTGTGATTGGTTATCCAAAAGTGTTCTGACCCAATTATTTCAGATAATCGATGCTGTATTTATAGTTTTGAACAATTTAAAGTTGGGAAAGAAATTGTATTTGACCAATACAAAATGGTAGAATTTTAACATGTTAACTGTTATCTGACATGCCTACAGTTGTACTAATTAGGGCCGTATAGTGCCATATGACTGCCAGCAGTTGGAAATGTTGCACAAGAGGCCACCACTAGAATGTAAAACAACGTCTTACAAAGCCAAGATAATTTAACCTTGAATGAAACTACATTGGTTATAGCGACGTCGGACGGTCAGATGGCTCTGTACGGCCCTAATTAGTACAACCACTGGCACGTTGGATAGCGGTTAATGTGTTAAGTTAACTAAATATAATTTGTTAATCACAAATGTAATGAAATAAATTATTTTCTATGTATGTTATTCTTTACACATTTATTTATACATTGTTAACTAAAGTATTAAATAAAAATATTACAATATATGGTAATGCTCATTGGCCATTTGCACAGGAAGCTGCTGTGTGATTGTATGGTTTGCATTTGTAAACTTAACTCTGATCATCTGAACAATGCACTTTTGATACGATGCCACAAAAGAAAACCTAGCGAACATTAGATTGGGGATGGAGGAGGACAAACAAGCGGCTCTTCTTTCTCAATTCTGCCATCTCAGAATTCACAGAATCAATATGCTAAAAATTTCATCAATTAAGCTTCAAAATAGTATTCATTGTAAGTTTGTAACATTTATAAATCTTAAGTTACTAAAGTCTAAAACTGCAGAAGAATTTCTTGGATACCCTGCATAAGTAAATTTAATTTTTACCTGATTCTTTAGCTCCGATCATTTCTGCAACATTTTTACGAGCAGTTTCGACAACCATTTTTGCCTTCTTTCCTGTAAACAAAGATAAAAAGTAAGTAATTAAGATGTGTGAAATTTAATACAAATGGCAACTTTCCAGAACACATGATAATTATTTTCTCAATCTTATCTTTTGCTTGAATACGTACACAACAATTCACCCCACAATCAGAAAAAAAAGTGCTTTACAATCTAACTTAGAATATTCAATTTAATGTAGGATTTACAATAACTGAATTATATTTATAACTTTAAAAATTAGCTGACCGACAGTCCTTCATTGTCGATTCTCATCTAAAATCATCTCCAGATCCCTCATCTAAGTCATCTCCAGATCCCATAAACTACCTGCGAATTTATTAAGGTTTCAATGTGGAATAACTTTAATTAAAAAGAAGCATCCCCACAGTTATGCACTTCAGAATAAGAAAAAAAAAAAAAGATTCGGTCTAGAATTGCAAATGTAGGAAGATTTCGGGAGAAATCTACATACATTTTGATGCCAGAGAAAAGATAAAGACCAATCTGCAACAATGCTTTGTAGATGCAAAATTTTATTCCTTTTTCTGGAGCAGAATCTCCAATCCACGTATATTGTAAGATCGTTTTAGGCATTAGACTGAGTATTCAAGTAGAGCGAGACCAATCCGTATTCTTATTACTCTACTACTGCTAGTACTCTGTCTTTCCTTTTACTAACATTGTGGTTCGAATATCTGTATATTGTTGACAATATTTTGTATGTTGGGTATCATACAACATGTAACAGTTTTTTATTCACAGTTTGTAAGGTGCGCACCAATCCAATCTGTCCTAGGCTCTCCCTCTTGGAGCTGATAATCCTATTGATTTTTTCGATTACTTTACCTATTAAAAATATATTAATCATACGCTTTGAAGTTATATATATTTTTCTCTACATCCTCCTTGTGATACCTGCAAATCAATGTATTGACCATCTTCATTCCAAAGTAGATAGAAATGGTAAACAAGGGTAAATTAAAGATTTTTTGAGAGTAGAAAAGATATCCATTGTGAATACTGATGAAAAACAAACAGAAAAAAGGATGATGTTCTGTCGAGTATGCTCTACACGTGTGAAAAAAAGGGGAGGCCCTCAGAGAGTCGTCTCTACAAAGTTTTCTGACTCTTGTCGTTCTTAATGAGAAACAAAATCAAACAGAACAGAAAACAAATTTGAGTATCAGATGTAAAAAATGGTTTGTACAGTGTAGACACAAAAATATTTCCATCAATGTAAAATTCTTAGAGAAAAAGTCAAATAGTTGAGACATACTGGGTTCAAAGTAAGCAGTGGGTGGGAGGATAAATTTAAGAAAAAGCACCAAATAGTTTTACATTTATAAAAGTGTTTATAAATATTAGAGAGGTTGCGGCTGTCATATTCAGCCCGAAACGTGAATGGAGGACGGTCGAGCACCGCCATCTGGCAATTCTAGACGGTCGATAATGGCATTGGTTACGTCTAGCATGGCGAGTAAAAGATCGGTTTAAACTTCTTCATTTTTTTGTGTTTGGGGTTAAAATAATGACCTATTTTATTAAAATAATGATTATTTAAGCATTTACGAATAATATTGTAAAGAAACAGATGATTTTAATCCATAAATTATTTAATTATTCAATTTTTAGCAAGTGATGTGAAGTGTCTATAGAATTTACATATATTTGCCTTCATAATAGCTTATCTTAAGGTAGGTTTGTTCTTCCATGGCATCTCCTACCATCAACAGTGTAATACGTTTGTAAATTTTCTAAAAATTAATTTTTCGAGCTGCTTTCAAATTTACATAAGCCACTACTTCCCTCAACAAAAGTATGAGATAGTCCTATCATCCGATCATACAGTAGGAGACACCATGCTAATTAAAAATAATTATTTAGTGTTATTAAACATCCTATAAATACTTTAAAATAGTTTAATTTGTTTATTTACCTTTGCTGGTAACCCTCAATGTTAAATGTATCCGCCATTTTTTCAACAAATTTCCTGCGAGTCAATTCACTGAGTCGCATGATGTTGTGAACATGCGCTGCAACGATTTTTTCTCAGAGTTAAAATGTAAACAGTGTACTTCTGCCTGCCATGTACAAGTAACGTTCGAACTTGTGCCGCAACCTCTCTAATAATTCACATTAACAACTGATAAAAAATACCTATGCTCAAAATGAAATAAAAACAAAAAACTCTAAACACTTTTGTATACATCAACAAACTTTTCTTCATATCAAAATATGATAATGCGTGTTATGTAGGCAAATGTAATTTTCTACGTAGTAATTTGATGTGGACATTTAAATATTATAAATAACTATTACCTGCAACATATTTACTACTTGGATTACCCCAGGCATTTTTTAAAGTGTCGGCGATTGCTTCTACGACTTCTGGTGCTACAGGTGTTGTGGCATTGTAATCCAAATATATCCTAAAAAATAGATACAAGTTAAACTGTAAAGAGAACATAAAAATTGTAAATTAATTTAAATCATAACTATGGAATCAGTGCACGAATGCTTTGACTCTGACTCCTTAGTTTATGGAATTTATACACAGATTCCTTTATACTGTATACCAATATAGAATATAAATAAATATACTAATTATATACTTTTTACATATCGACCGAATGCATACAACATATCAGAATATTCTAAATTAATTTTTTAAATATTAAATTTAGTACAAATGGCAAATTAATCACCTACTTTCGGCTTAATTACTTTATATCTACACATTTAATTGACCAAGTTATGGCGTGACGAATCCAGTGTTTAAATGGCAATCAAAATGATAATGCCAGATTCATCAAGCAATAATCATAGAAAATAAAGTAAAAAAAAAAAAGAAAAATTATATTCACCAACAATTTATTTATTGATTGTCTTTGGGTTTACACATTCTATAAATTTAACAAATAAACTTCATTGTTCAATTCAGCACAAAGAAATTAGTGTGTTTTATATGTGAGGTTACAGACAAGGTCCAAATCCCATACTAATTTTGTTCAAAAGCTTTCCACTAGAAAAAGGAATTTCGAAGATAAACACAATGCAAAGATTAAAAAAAATAATAGATGTAAGTCTCAGATGAACTGAGTTCACGTGTTGGACTAGAAAGACAAACTTTGGCTTTGGTGCTCGTAAATATGATGAAATTACAGCAAACTCAAATGGGTATAAGATATTTCGATCAATGAAAAAATATTGCAAGATGTCTAATAGAAATATTTGACAAAGGAGAAAACAAAAAACTTATAGAAATACAAGCAAAGTTCCAAGGTTTGTTTAAACATCCTGTCGTCTGAGATTGAGATGCAGTGTTGAGTTAAAATTGTGGTTTTACCTTTCTCGTACTCCAATTGGGTCTAGTTCTACTTGGAGACAAAGAAGCAACCAATTGGGGAGGAAAGAAAAGGATTTGGGACCGATTCAATATAAGCCCACATCTCAAGGTCATAGCACTTTTTCTCTGACTGTTCTTCCTTAACTACTCTTCACTGATCGTTCATCCTTAACCGCATTTAACCAATTCCACAACTTCCAGTCAACTTCACAGATTCACTTCAATGCTCGACTTCATAGTTTGGAAACTCGGGAGCCAATCACAGTAAGCATATGCAAGAATAAAGTGCAAGAATAAATGTATTAAATGTATACGCAAGAATAAACATATTAAATGACCCCTTCACCTGCCTTGTCAGCAACATCATCCTGAGCCTAATTCCATCTGATCATCATACAGGACTTACAGACTATTAACCCAAAACCCAAGGACGTCTTTGTGGGACAATCAATAGGAGTAAAAGAATAAAAATTAAATACATAAGCGACAACGTTTTGTAACAATAAACAGGAATTTGTAAAGATGTCTAGAGTCTGAATTCATCAGCACCCACACATGTGGTTTATACTTACAAACCCTTCTTAGGTTCGGTTTCCTGGCAAACTCGATATCACACGTAGACAACAAACACTGTACACCCTTACATTTAGAATATTTAACTATTCAGTACTATTAAAACTGGAAAATGAACACATCTACAACATTTAACTGAGTAAGATTTTTGTTTTTATCTCTGTTTCTCAAAGTAGATGCTACTGCTTCCAAGTACACCGGTGATACAAGACTCAAGACGTATACCAGAATGTAAGGGGCAGTAGTCTGAGAAGTTTAGAAAACACTGGGCTGTATGATCAGAACAATGATATTTATTTTTCTTATTGAAATAAAACAGTATTGTGTAACATAAATCACCTTTTAGATGAACTTTTAGGAGAAAGTTTAATGCGATTTTTTAAGTGTTTTATAAAGCAGATTCTTAAGTTCTTTGCAGAAGTAAATGTTTGACGCTATTGTTAAATATTTATCATCCGTCCTTCAATTAATAGCTGTAATAAAACAAGGAGAAATTTCAATTGTATCCGTCCTCGAAGACAATTAATACACAATGCAAAAAATAGGTCAGACGTTTAATTAACATCGTATGTTCTAAATTACATAACAACTATTCATCTCAACTCTCTTTTTAAATAAATAAATTTTCTTTGCTACAAAAGCTTATTTAGAACATTTTTAGCATCACATCCCTTGAAGAATTTGAATAGAAACAAATTATAAATGCAGAACAGAGCACATCCTCTTGAGTTTTTGGTTTTACAATTACTTAAAGTTTGTATCAAATAATTAATAAATCAAATAATTATCATTGCTTTCTTGCTTTATTTGATTAAATTAAGTTGTTTAAGACGCATATGTAAAAAACTATTAAAGTAAACAAACAAATAAAGAAAAGATAACCATTAGTGAATGCATTTCTTCTCTTATGTCTAATTGGCAGGAGTGCATCTGGGAAGTAGGCACAGCGTGTGTTCCAAGTGTCAAATAAGGTCGCCGAGAGGAGATAATATGCAATTTGGATTATTTAGGACATTATTTTAAAAATAAATTATAAGGGATAATTTAATGGAGTCAGGTAAGGGAACATTGAGAGTAAAAAAGGTGCAATAGGGAAGATGGAGTAGTGTGATGCGGACTGACTTATCACGTCATCAATATCTCAAATCTTCAGAATGAACAGGGGAGACAAGATTTTTATTTTTCCCTAGTGAGAGAGACTACTCGCACCTCTGTAATTGGGATGTGTCAATATATATTAAATATTTAAATAATTTCTCATTATGATAACTATGAAACAATAGAAAACTAATGTAACTTTAGTAACAAAGCATGATATAGTTATCATTTTAATAACAGTATTATATTAACTCTCTGTTAGGTACTGTACTTAGATTACATAATGTCATCCATCACTATTGTTTTATGTATTTTTTTTCTGTTGAGGCTATTTATCAATAATTCTCTCTCACAGCAGCTATTAACAAGTCAATGACCTATCTTTTGACACTACTTTTAATCATTCATATCCTGCTGAACACTGTTGGCACCAATGTATTATTAGGCATCCATAGAACTATTCATAGAGGAAAGTATAAAGAAGCAAGATTTTGTAGAAAATGTGACCTTGGAACTAAAATCCCGAGATGATCTCTTATCCCAAACATTCCATCTGAAATATGGCGGTCAAGAATTTTTATTAGGAGTTAGAAAACTTCAAAATACTTTCTGACGAGACTGTGTCTCGTCTCTAAACTCGCGCCGCCGTCAATGGCTGGACACCTTAGAGGTATGAAGGAGTACATGTCAGGAGTTGCAATTTGGCACAAAGTATTTGGTGCCCAAATCATGCGCACATAAAAAAAACCAGATTTGTAGGTAGTCAGGGGACCGAGAACCGAGTCAAAATAAAATACAAAATGGTGAGACTGTTTCTACAAACAGGCGCAAGTGTTGCTTGCCCTCTCTGAGATAGTCTCGTCCCAAAAATGGATTCGCTGTTTTACTTGTTTAAAAATTCTTTCTGTCCTATTGGTACTAAGATGTCTCTTTTTTGCAAGCTCATTATGGGTTCGACCAGACCCGCATCTTGCTTGATAATAAAATTTATATTATGTATATGGAATCAAACTACTGTATTGAATGTTATTTAAATTTTTCATTCTTCAGGCACTAACAGGTTCTCTTATCATGCCCAACACAAATTTAGCTAAACTCGAGGTGACTGGTTGATAAAAGACAAGGCTTGTTGTATCTGATTTTTTTTTTTAATTTAAATTTTAATCTCTCTCTTTATGGGTATCTAGAAGGGCCTTTTAATCGCATCTACCACGGACTCAACAGGACAAGAGCGGGATGTGACAAGGGATAAGGACCAACACATCCGGGACCGACCGCAAGCGAAAAATTTCCAGAATCCGCATCCGGATTCGATTCCAAGCCCAGAAAGCATCTGGACCACTGGCCAGATCCGGATCGAGCCCGTCCATTTTAAGTTTCGAGGAACCTACCAAAGCTCAAATCCGGGATACCCAGTGCAGCGGGCCAATGCCTTTACCTAACAGTCAATGTGGGAAAGGTGCCAACTAGACCCCGGTCTCCCAGAGCATCAATCTTAGAAATCTTCACAGATAAGTTTACAATGGCTTTGGCTACATAACGAGAGACAAGCCTAACATATCGGGTCAACCTATCAAAAGACTCTTGGTGTCCACAGAGGGGGGAAGACTCAGAGAGATAATACCCTTGAGTTTTAAATAAATCCAACTTCTCATTCTTCCTAATGGTAAAATAATAAGTCTTCACACTTTTAATTAAAGAGAATAATTTTTTACAACTGTAAACTTCAACTGTAATACACTAAAAATAATGGACTATTTTTATAATGTGATAAATCATACAATCGTGATAAATTAACTCTCATATTAAAAAAAATATTTTTAAAATAAGATAAAAAAAAAATTTTTGAGTTGCATAAAACTGACGACAGAGGACGCGTTTCTATTTTCCGTCTAACATGGCGTCTGCAATTAATGAAGTCACATGCCTTTTTATTCGTTTCGCTTATCACTTAATTTAAACAAATTTTCTTTTTTCCTCGTTTTAAGAGTTTCCAAGCGTCTATCCCGAGATACGAATCAATTATATAAACATATATTCATAATCTGATAATATATTAACGTGTAAACAGATAGCATGCTGTTTATATTAAGGAAATTGATTAAAAAATATATTTATGCGTATTAAATTAAATGGCGAAACGATGATTAATAATGAATTGACATATACTTTTCGTTTTCACATTTTAATTCAGCCGAGTCAGTCACGTGTTCGAGGTTTACATTGAACTGGTGAGGAAGACGGAAATCCCAATTTTCTCACACAATACGTAATTGAAACGAATTGCTATAGAAATCACCTTTTCGAGCGCGGTTTTTTTTATAAACAGTTTACCTATTAATTTAATAATAGAAAATGAAATTATATACGTACGGATCTTCCTTTGTTGACATGCTTTCTTACCAGTGACGCAACTTGGTTTTTGCCGGCACTTTAAATGTGCGATGATGATGATATCGCCCCCTGTCGTCTTTACAATAAACTATTTTTTTTAATTTTTTAAAAATTTATTTCTAAGTTAGTACAGTATAAAAAAGTTTTTATATTCACGTTTCATAGTGATTATTTTATACAAGTAATTTAAATCTCGAAGACGCATTTGAAACGGTTGGTTTACTTATCCCGCTTTACTAGGTAACCAGCCGTGTATTTTGGCTTTACTGTATTTCCGATGTAAAGTCATCAGCGGCCGGATGGCCGAGCGGTCAAGGTTACAGCCTACCACTCTGGGGGACCCGAGATCGCATCCGGACGAGTCAAATAAACCCCAGGAATCCCTCACCACCCGGCTGCCCCATTGTGGGCCTGGCCGAACCCATAATGAGCTTGAAAAAATAGGCCCTCTTAGTGTCCACAGGGTGGAAAAAGTTTAAAAAAATGTAAAGTCATCAGTGAAAGTATTTGCTTATAAACACTACGCAAAGAATATTTAAAAAAAATAAATTTAATAAAATATATTAAAAATTTAATATTACGTGATTAATTTTAAAAACTGTATTCTGTAACTACATTTTTAAAAGTAAAAAAATATTCGAATTATTTCATTGAATTACTTTTATATTAGGTGCCTTCTATAAAAATAAATTAATTAAATTGTTTTTTATTACAAAAACATTTTAATACATTAACGCCATCTGTCGACGAATTAATGTAATTACATAATTTAAATTTGAATGTCGCAGAATGTATAGCAGACGACGAAAATGCACCATGCCTGATGTAAGGTCAAGCATATGAAGGTTAAATTACGTAATAAAAATGATTTTGCAGTAGAAAAAACAAATAGTATACAAACTATAAATGCGATATTAGTCGAATTCATTTCCTACTTTATATTATTTTAAATTGCGTAATAATCAGATTTTTTAGCTTCAAATTATACAGTCTGTTCGATTGGTTGAGATAATGTATAATACATTATTACGCCAGTTTGACGTCATCGCCTCAACTTTTCAATGAGAAATTCCAAAGAATGACGCGAAGTTTACGTAACAACCGCGCAATATCTCAACCAATCCGACAGACCTATATTCTTTCCCGCAATATTAACGGAGACGATGTTCATTATTCTACATACGCGAAGGAAAATAGTTCCGTGTTCGTTACGATGTACTGTACAATTTAATAGGGGCGTCTATTAAATTAACAGTAATAAGTCCTTGTATTGAGATAAAATCATCCCTCCCGAAGGAAAGATAAAACCATTTAAAATTACCCCCGGGGCATTTAGACAGTTTAGTATATTGAGGCATAGGGAAGACAAGTAAATTACTACTGTATTTCTGTAATATGAAAATGGACGAGTTATGAAGGCTGTCTGTGTTGTTTATGTGAATTTACCATCCGTAAACCTTTGTTTTGGTGTACAAGGTGGACGTAAATAAAGTTCCCGCATTCAGAACACACTTTACCGGAAAATACACAAAATATAACAATGTAAAGCCTTTATTTGTAAGCCTCTACAGAAGGACAATAGAGCACACATTAAGAAGGGTGCAAACAATGTGTGCATCATTGTTCGAGTGTAAAATTTGAAGGCGACAGTGTTTTATTTTTGCTTCCGGTGCCATAAATGTCATTGTTTTTACTGCCTTGTATGAGTATTGTCTAACGTTACACTATCTGGAACCTGTGACCTGTGCTCTACGTGTATATATAGTATATCGCTTGACAAACATTTTCGAGCGATCCGTTCGCTCTTCTTCAGGTCGAGTATTGTCTAAAGTAACTCATTAAAATGTCACTTTAATATTGTTATTTATCATGTTTTATATCCTGCTATTGGTTAGAATGTTGTCCGAAAAGGTAAACTGTAGAAGTTCACTGATAATTTCAGATAGAAACAAGCATCAGATGTTCCAGAACAATACAACCTATCAATTTAAACAATAATTTAACTAGCATTTCGGTTAGAATGTATGATATCAGTTTTAATGTAACAGCTCAAGTTAATTTTGCAATTTGGTATAGAAGTAATGCTATCATTACCCAATGTTTACATTATTTCTAGACTAAATTTCAAAATTAATTAATTTACAGCTTATAAATAACTTTGAAGAATTCCAGTAACGTTTAGTTATTAAATATGAGTTTATACTATTGAATTACACAGAGTTGTGATAATTGGGTCATAATAAACACATTAGTAGTGTGAAGTTCAAATTCTATTACAGTGGGTGAGGTAAGTGGAGTTTCATTGGTTAATTTTGTCGCTTGACAAAAGTGAAAATGACAGTTCTTGAAATTGACTCTGCTTGCAACCGTGGCAATGCATTGACTTTATCTGAAAATGTACCCGTATTGCTTAGTCTGTACACTAGTGATACATTTTTAGGTAATGTCGAACAACACTTAAAATGTATCAGCAGGAATTGATTGGAAAAGAAATAAGATGGCTAAGTTGAGGGTGGAAAGACCGTGTAAAAGCCGACAACCCAAAAGAAAGGTCTGGTTTGATGGGATACAGTAATATGCCACACGGGTAATGTGCTAAGGGTGGATGTCTCCCAGGGACTTTCTACGGGAATAGGGCCACCATCTAGGTGAGGGACAGGTGATGGAAAACTGGAAAACTTAATGTACGGCCTGCCTGTTGGCCGGACGCAAACCCAACTACCAGTGTTTGGTGGTGCACTGATGGGCTCTGAAAGAAAGAAGAGCACCAGGGGGAATAAAATGGTTGATAATAAATAGGTTATTTGTGTATGGCACTGCAACATGTGGGCGATCTGCTGAGAGGGGGAAACTCCCGAGAAGACTTTCTAAGAGAAACTGACCCCCAAGTTATTTAGGTGTAAGAAACATGAAGAAAACCCAGAGAACTCCACATTGACAAGGTGAGAACCAACTACCAGAATTTGGATGTTTTATCCACTTGACTGCCGGTGGGCGATAGTAATCTCTCGTATAGGATATAGGAAAAGCTGAAGAGTAAGAAGCAAACATAGTTATGCTATATTAAATGAAACAATATTAGAAAAAGGGTAATTTATTCGTATAAACAATCCTATCTACAAAAAAGTTTTGTTATAAAACAAATCCCAGTATTAAAAAATACCACATTAGTTATAAAATTTGTACTAATGCTATATACACATGTTAATCACACTGGCATGGTTAAGGCACTTATTCCATATATACATTCAGATGTTATCTACATTTTCATTCACAGAGTATAAAATTTAATGCTTTACACATTAAATCATTAAACTAGAAATTTCCAAATCACACATCGAAAGAAAAACAAAATTTCTTGCCTTTTTTTTCTACAAGAGTATACAAACTTTTCTACAAAACATACACATTTACATTAATACAGACTATGAATTAAATAAGGAATAATACTTAATAAAGTTAACTGATCCCAATATCTGCGACACATAAATATGTATATACACATAAACTATATATTACAAAAGACAAAAAAATAAATGTGCAAGCGACAATGTTAATTTTGATCGTGGAATCTTAAGTCGAGGTACTTTCCGAATGGAACCATTGGCAGTCGTAGTACACAAACTTTTGGCACAACACTCGATAAAAACAGTCGCAAGAGTTTCTAGTGTCATTACAAAAGTAAAAATGCAAATGAGTCGATGACAAAAAAACAATTTCACATTAAAAGAAACTGAAACGTCAACAGTAACAAAGAAATTAACTTCAAAATATTATGGCAGAAACTTGTTTGCGTACTTTTGTCGGAAATTAAATATACTTTGCATTTGCATAAACCGTTGGGAATACGTCAAGGCACTTAATATGTATGTTTACAAAACTTTTGTAACATTAAAATATTGTCCAGTTAAAAAAACACAAAAATCAACGAAATAAATATCAATAATTTGTTTGCGCTTTTTAAAAAGTTAGTAATTTTTGTGTGGTTTGCAAAGTGCAAACGAACACTATTTAATATGTTCGGTTAATGCGAATTCATTCGTCGTTCCTAGACTTCTGTCGTGTCTTCGATACTACCGTGCGTAGCCAGAATGCAAGAAACTGCCTGCTGTACGTTCCAGTCGCATTGAAGTAGTATGTTTTTGCTATTTTCTATATTAATATTGTAGGTATTTAAAATACGGAGCAAACGGGCAAGTTTGATGGCGTTATGAATGTTCCAATCGGTATCGTTTAGTGCAAAGAGGCAATCTTCAGGAGTTATTGACTATAAATAACAATATTTTAAAAATTACAGAGAATATTTTTTGTAATTTTTAGTCAATTGAAAATTAAAGCTTTACTTACTTCTTTCGCGAGTACTTTTTGCATTATTCGTACTTCATCCGAATCTATTCCTCTAGCTCGACCTTGAGTTCTATTCGGTAGTAGGAAATAACGTTATTATTTAGGAAATTTTTGATTAAAAAAAAAAAAAAAAAAGGAAACCGCTCTTTTCTAAATTTACCTTTTAGAATTTGGTTTATCCATAGCAAATTCTAAGAGATCTTCGCAACTAACGTGATCGCTACTATTGTAAATAGGTGGAGAAGGTGCACTCTCTTCTGGAATATCGTCCAAACTATCGACTACTGCTTGAATTTGACTCTCAAAAGAGTCATTCAAACTGAAAAGTTGTTATTATTTTTACTATTTACCAATGTATTCTTTTATAAAATTAAAAAACAGTAGAATTACCTGCAAGTTCTTGCTGGTTTGGGAGGAGGAATGCAATTTTCTGTCGGAAATGTAGTTTGTAATCCGTCAAAAGTGTCGACTTTTTGAATATTTTCGTCGTCATTCATTACTTTATTTTCTGATGGAACTGGCTGACCTAAAGATCCATGCAAACCCAATTCAATATTAGTTGAATGTTTAACAGTTACAATCTCACTGATATCGTTACTTGCTGGAATAACTAGCGGATATTTACGTTGATGACATTTTAAAACCGGCGGTGGTCTTGTTCTATCTCGAGGTGGAAGAGGAAGAGGATTCTGGTAACATTCATTGCTGTCTTCATTATTATTGTTATCATTATTATTGCAACTATCCTGTGACGTAGCATTCAGAGAACTAGATTTTGACTGATAAATTTTTGTTGCTTCCATTTCGTTCCTTTCATTGTCATTATTGACATCCGAGAAACGTTCGTTTGACATCAAAACAGGGTTTGCCGAATGAGTATTTTCAATTTCGCGATGAGTATTAGCGGCATGTTTTGTACTACGTTTATTACCTCGAACTTTCGGTCGAACAGGCCCACCCATCCGTAACATTCTAAGTGGATTTGAATTCAATGCATCGTGCTCAGAATCCACTGTATCTATTCCACTCTGTAAATTGTTACGATGTCCATACAGATTAGAATTTTGATATGAAGAATTATGCGAAGGAACAGGGTGAGATAAGCTTCGTTCTAATCCTTGCCCTTTGTCAACTAAACTATTATAAGCCTCTTTAGCTTCCTTACTAATAATATCATTGATATCAAGTATGGATTCTGCCTCTTCACTGAAATTTCTTCTTTCAGGTTTCGGGCTTGTTTTGAATTTAAAAGAGAACTTTCGTTTTGTCGGCGAAGTCGGAGTTTTGGGGCTTTCTAACGCAACATCTGAATCAGATTTATATTCAAGTTCCAACATACTTTTGCTGGCAAGTTCTTTAGCCATTGCGATAGCTGAATCTAACGTATGCTGATCTGTAGCAGATATGGGCTTTACCATAATCTGTTTCTTTCTACTGCCTTCTCTTCCAATTAGTTTTGATGTAATTTCTTTTATTTCATTCTTTACATTGTTGTTATTTTCTGCAGAATGTTGTTCATCAACTTCCGTATCTTGTTTGTTTGACGCCAATGCCTTAAACACCTCATCCATTAAAGATGGCCCAAAATCTAACATCTGTTAAATAAAATATTTTAAATTATTATGCATTTGCAATTGACTAAATAGTTTTAAATTTATTTTCTTACCTCAAATCGAGGACTTTCGACTGATGCGACTAGTTCCTCGTCACTTATTTCGTGATATTCATGATCGGGACCATGCTTCAAAGAATCGCCATGTTTATGCTTCTTCTTTGTATCTTTATTGATAACTTCTTCGTCTTTACTCTTAAAATTCATGCACGAATCAAAATTTTTATTATACGTTTCCGTTCTCTCTCTTCTAGTCGGAAGAAGTATTTCCGGTTCGTAATTAGGTGGCGGTGGTTTACAGACAAATGTTTCATTTTTAACTAAAGGACACTCGTCTTTAATCATTTCTTGTTTTACATCTGTCCATACTTCTAAAACAGAAATTTTAACACACACATATAAGTTGATTCATATATATATATTTTATATGGGTTATTCAAATGAAACAGACTGGACCATAGCATGAGTACGGTATTACAGTATTATAGCATAATGACAAAGTTGTGTTAGCTGCTGTAGGAGATCATCTCTTGGATTCAGACAAGTGTCTAAACATGACACAAGTTCATGTATACCTTCCGCATAGAAAGAGGAAGGTCGTGGATAAACCATTCAGTAACAGCTGCTTGGCACAGAATCTGAGAAACTATAAAGGGCCCAAAAACATAACGTGCAAGGCAACTTCCATGTTTATTGAGTTGTAAGGCGGCTGCCACATCCCAAGTTCTGCAGCATCTGCCTTACAACCCCTATTTAAAGTTACTCAGTGTTTGCAGATTCCAATCTGATCCAAATCCAGGCAGCTGCAATTAAATGGTTCATCCAGCAGCTTTCCTCCTCCTATGCAGAGGGTATAGTTCACACATGTCTGAATGCAGAAGGCGATTTCCTATAACAGCTAATCCTATTTTGTCATTATGCCATACATACTATAATCTTGCTATAGTGACAGTAACACTATGTTTTATAGGATCCAGTTTACCCATTTCATTTGAACGACTGTTATATATTAAATCACAAAAATACCTGTTGGTAATCCATTTCTATTATCTGTTATTGAATTTGATTTATTTAACAGAGGAGTTCGATCTGAGATTTCCGAAGTGTTTCTAGACAAACAAGTAGTACTCTGCTCTTTATCTTCATGAGGTTTATCTGTAATAAATTTCATTTTTATTAATGTTTTTAATTAAAAATCTAACTTTATAATCCTAAAATATAAGAATACACATAGGAAATATAATATAATAAAAATAATAATATAACAAATAAAAACAGGGCATTCTTAAATCCTGCCTCCCAATTGTTTGTAGATGAGGCGCTTTCTCTTTTTAAATTGGTAGTTTGCATCGACGGGTATTCTTTAGACAAGTTCAAACATCTAGTCAACCGGGTCAAAGGCATGTTATTTCCACCATCAACTTTGTATTGTAAGATGGAAATGGTTTTTGTAACACCAACCATTCCATATCCGGGTTCCCCTTCATTACGTACTTGTCGAGTTTTCAAGAAATTTGGCTATATTTTGCCACTAGTGCCCCAACCCACCTTACATAGGATACTTTGTAATGATAGAAGGTTCCGTTCAGGTTCTCTCTCTCGAATTCAAATGTTTTGTTCTCTATGAATGATTCTGCCCGAAGAGGACAGTTATATACTGTCGAAAGCACTCACAAAATAAATTATTTTTATGTAACATAAACAGACCTTTATACATTATCTTTTTCTAGTGGAGTTATACTTTGATTTTTACAAATCGTGTTTCTTCCTTTACCTTGAATTCTAACAAATATTAATTTATAAGAAAATAAAACAATTTACAAGCATCATTACAGTTTTTCACACAATGCATTTTATGTTATAAATACATCCATTATAACTTTATGCGTAACATACCAGTATAAGAATAAGAAAAATTTCACATTAGAAGTTTATTTTATAAAATTGTGGAACCAAATCGTATTTGACTCTTCGTCGACATCAATGCATCGTCATTGTTACACTCGCCCACATAAGAATGTGCTTGGTGTTTGTCAGCCATGTTTTCGCTTTAGTACTTTGCATTTAGTTATCATCTCTTAATTATTTAATTGTTAATGCAACGGCATAATCTTCAATATCTCCAGGAGAAAACAAAATGAGAGCTTCGATGTTTGTTATATTTTTACATGTCAGGTTCGGATGCACAAATGCCATCTAATGTTACGTGTTTATAATTATAATGTCCGGTAAATATAATGTAAAATACGCTGCACACAAACTGTTATTTTCATTAATAATAATTTAGATGATAAACTAATTCTGAATTTTTGTCTTATTTGATTGATTTTAATTCTAAATATTTTGATTTTTCAAACTTAACATTACTTAAGAGTAATAATTAACTATACAAGCATATTTGCAATGCCATTACTATTTTTAGGCAAATCACACACCTTTTTTGTGTTAGACAAGTTAATAATTTACAAAAGAACTTAATGTTAGTTACAAGAAAGCAATGTTTAATGGATTTTATCATAATTTTATTATCATCGTAACATAAATATCAATTTATATGGCAGCTTCAATTTATTCATATTTTAAAATTTTTACATTTTACAAATCACTATTTTAAATTGTGAAATTAATAATTCAATATTGTAAAGTTCAAAATAGAATATATATATGATAGAAATTTTTATCTGTTATGAGATTTAGAAAAGCTGGAAAAAAAATTTCCTTTTTTGCTTGAGGAAAGCCATTCAGTTCCTCCGAATGTGATAGAGTGTGAGAGACATCCTCTTGAACTATCTGTAGGACCACGTGACTTCTGTCGTACGTCAGAAGCTTAGAGAGCTATCTCTAATAATTCTATTGAATGGAATTTTATATATAAAGGTGAGAGATCACCTTCAAATGCACTCTTGTTCTTGCTAAGACATTCTTGTTAATATGCTCTTGCCAATGCTTTAGCCAATGCTCTCATCCCTGTCCCAGTTCTCTACTTTGGCTCGTTTCCAAGAACTCGCAACTCTCCATGTAAAATGTTCATGTACTAGGGTAATATACCATATTTACTCAAAATAAGATGATCTCGCATATAGAACGAGGTGTGACTTTAAAGATTAAAATAAAGAAAATTAGATTTATTAATACAATTCTAAGTTTATTTTTGTTTAATCACACATAAAATATTATCAAATACACATGTTAAGACAAACATGGTTGCTTGCCTTAATATGTGATGAATGGAAAACAAAACCAAAACATTATAATGTGCATGATGGAAAAAGTTTATTTTTAATGATTCAGAATGTGCTAATATTCATTAAAAATAACAATTTAACAAATATGAAATAACTATATTNTGTGATGAATGGAAAACAAAACCAAAACATTATAATGTGCATGATGGAAAAAGTTTATTTTTAATGATTCAGAATGTGCTAATATTCATTAAAAATAACAATTTAACAAATATGAAATAACTATATTTATAATTATTGCTAAGTTACCTGTATTTCATTAATGACTATAAATAACGAGAAACTATTTTCTGCAAACGAATGAGATGCAATGTGGTTTTTAATTGATAGACGTAGGATTAAACCAGTAAAGTGGGGTGTGTTTTAATTTGTTTACAGTAGGCACAAACTTACGATAAATAGACTGTAGATCTACACATGGTTCACAGAAATTATTGAAAAAACACAAAGAATCCTTTGCTTGCACATATAGGACAACCTAGGTTTTTGAAGCAGTGAAAAATGAACGAAAACCTGGTCTTATACGCGAGTAAATATGGTAATTTTATTATGTAAACTCTCTCTCTCGTCAGGAAAGATTTAATGGGTTAGGATTCGAACTTCTCTCATACTTGAATTTCTACACTGCAATTGGTGTTTTATTCTATCATGGTTTTATTTTCAATTTCCATCTAATAACTATAGTTTTTGTTTAAATAAATATATAGATATATCCCGATTGTTGTTTAACTGATTAATGCCAAACTCCATGGGCCCATGTAATCCATGTAATTCACATATCCCACTTTATTTTATTAATTAAACTAAACCCTCCTAAAATTCTAGTTAATTTTAATACATCATCTTTTTCCACTTGGAAGATAATAAATTTAATCGCAAGTTAGGATGAGAGATAAATTATCCTAACTGGTGTCAGGACTCTTGAGGAAAGATTTCACAGATCTTTCTTCATTTCATTTCATCCTGTATGTAGAAATGAATTCCTCGCTTCTCGCAGTTACTTATTACTCTTAACAGATTATAGACAGAAAGCTTATAATGCATTAACATTACTTGTTAATGCATTATAAACTTTATTTTGTTGTATTAGTAATAAATGTAGTAGTTTAACCATCTCTCTCTAGTGCATATTTAAATTTTAATTAATTAAAAATTCCTTTCAATATAATCTGAGAGATAATCTAGAAATTTAGTGTTATGTTCAATTTGCAACAACAAATAAACAAACTGTAAACTCATTGAAATGTAAGTGGCCAGAGGGATAGATTAACCCGTGCTGTATTTTTATTGCATCACAAAAATATAATCAACCATTTTGGCTTAATTTTTATAAAAATAAAATTTATGAACGGAGCTTATATGCATTTATGCTCCTTTTATAAATATATGCACTTCTCAATACTCCAGGATTCAGCCATTCAAGAACTACATAAACTGAACAAAATAGTCGTCAAATATACTTAATTCACTAAGTAATTTTAGCCGCTAACTGCGAAAAAAGATGTATGTTAAGGCAAGAACTTTAACAGACTTTTGGTGTTTTTATTTTTAATTATATATACTAAAAATATTTACTAATATGTTATTTAATACCCATTTATCTATTTCTAATTATAAGATGCTGATAATTTTAAATGTTTTTCCTACTTCCTGTAATTTTAAATTTGTCTTAGATGCATTTAATAAACATTACAGAATCATATTTGTGAAATTCATAGTAAGTACTTGTATGAAAAGTTATTTTCTTTGATGTCAATCGTTCAAATCTTTTTAAAGTTATTATTATATTATAATATACATTTTATTATAACATAACACCAAATGATTTTACAGATAAAATAAGTGATTTTATATATAAAGTGCATTTAAAAATTGTTTTGATTTTTCAACAATTTCTGGAAGTTGGTACATCTGTAAAATACAGGGTGTCCCATGTAAAACTGGCTCTGCTTGTGGAAACAATATAGCTGAATTTAGGCAAAGGAACTCATTAGAAACTTAGTTTTAACATTATTTAAACATAGAGAAAATTACAGAAGATGTAGAGAGTAGTGTCCTTGTGCTTCTATGTATCTTTGACTATGAGTAGCAAAGTACAGATTAATCTTACATAAAATATTGATACTGATAACTTTAATGCTTCTGCAAACACATCCCTTCAGTTTATGTATCATTCTGGGATTGGTTTCATACATTTTCCTTTTTAAATATCCTCCTTTAAAGTTCACATCACTAATGTTTCATCATCTGAATTGAGCTAATTTTAAACTGGGACACACCGTATAATCTAACTGACTTGTTTTCCCATAAAAATATTTTGTATTCATATGCTAACCAAATGGAAGAGCTTAAAATATGTATAAAACTTGAAATGATTTAGTCAGGACTATTTCTTTACAATTACCCGACTTTTTGTGTGTCGCCTGTCTTAAGATTTCACTTCAAATTTGTTACAGTAAATGCTTCAACTATTTTTATTATTATTAAATAACAACTTTGGATAGGTCTAAACATAATTTTTATACAGTTCAAGAAATAAATCACGCAGCTCAATGTAAACTTTGATTACTGGAATTTATTATTTTATTTTATTAAAATAAAATAATAAATTCCAGTATGCAAAGTTTACATTGAGCTGCATGATTTATTTCTTTATTGAAGCCATTCAAATTCTTCTATGTATTCCCTATTAACTAATTTATGTACTTTTAAATATTTATAATTCATTCTTACAGTAGATTAATAATTAAAAAAACAAAGAAAAACTTACAAGGTGCAACAACTTGTCTTGGTAATTGTTGATACTTGTCGCCAAGAAACGAAACGTCGCCAAAAAATGCACCGTCCAATCCTACGTGTCCCGTATGCCTTAAATCTCCTTGCGGTCGCGATATCATTTCCGGACATAATCTGAAAATAAAATTACATCCAGTTGAATATTTGATTACAATCTCTTTAAAGAACCATAATATCTAAGAATTATTATAGAAGATTATAGAAGTAAAAATTTCTAGATTTTCTAAAATATTTTTGTTGTATATATTTACCTTTGATACAAAATAATAAAGTGCTACTAGATCTTTTCTGGCTTATTTTGTTAAATTAGAAATTAAATTTCTAGCATTAAAAAATAATCAGAAAAATCAGCAGTGTCCGATTTGATTTATAATTTCTATTTTTTTTAATGAAAATATATATTAAACAAATACACTTTAATATACAGGTATGCATTAATTCTCTTAGATTTTACTTTATAAAATTTTAAACTACAGGGTCTTCCAAAATAGATGCTATGATTTTAAATTACTGTAATTATGTTTATTATCTGAGAAGCATGCAACATATACCAATTGATACCTCTCCCATTTGCACTCAAATGTCTCGCTGTCTACTGCCTCTAGGAAGTACCGTAAACAAAAATGGCAACTCGGCAATAGAGAAAGCATTTTATGTTCTGCAGTTCACAAAATCGGAAAACATTACCGTGTAACGTGAGTAATCTGCAGGAACTGTAGAACTGTGGCTGCTGTGGAAGAGTGGCAATGGTTATACCATAACAAGCACAAGAGGAATTTGAGTATCAGTTGAATGTGACATAAGGTGTGTGCATCCAGAAGTTGTAATGGGCAAACGTTAAACCTGGACGGTTTTCCAATGTTAACGTAAATTACAACATTCTTGAATAATAACTTCTATAATTACAATAATTTAAAATAGCAGCGTTCTTTTGGAAGACCTTGTACTTAATTACTACTTCCAATTGTGTTTAGCACAGTCAGTCTTTGACTATGATCTCTTGATTGTGACATTCATATTTAGACAGCAAAACTAATAATATATTATAAAAATATTTATTTTCAGACGTATCCTGTAATGACATCTAAACTGAGGTATCCTCCATTACAGAGAATTCAGCAGGTCATTTGCCAGGACCTCGCATTTCATTTAATAATTTAAAGTTCTTTCTTATTTAAATCGTTGCATAAAGATAGCAGTAATTTAATTCCTTCCTTTCTATTATAAAAATATTTATTTTCCCAGGCATCTAACAGCAAGTTATAATACTTAGATTTTTCGAAATATTTTAAATATTTTGACGAACCTTTCGAAGGAAATATTCGTATAAAATTACCGCAACGTGATAATTCGTCTTCACTTTGTATTAAAATTTTAATATCATCAACGGATAATCTATTTAAAATTGTTGACTGTGTCCAATAACCAAGTTCGTGTCGAGTTTGCTTTACTTTTTCTTCTTGTTTCAAATTGCTGGTATATATATCATTATCAAAGCAACAGAATTTAGTATTCGTGATATTACATTTTGCCAAAAGTTCTTGTTGTTGCTTTACTGAAATTTCTAGACTTGGAATGTGTAGGCCAACGGTATTAAGAACATCTTTAATTAAAGAACATTTAATAAATTTATCTAATTCGGAATTAGAATGAAGACTCGGAGATATATTTACTTCCAACAGCCAAGGTTTTAAGTTAGAATCTAATAAAATATCGAATCCAAAGAGTTCATAACAGGAATATCTATTTTTCGTGTATGATCTTACCAGAGTANCAATTAAGGCATACCTTGAGTACGGCTGTTATTAAGGTTGTACTGTACAAAATTGATTATACCTTTTACTTATAAAACAGTCTTACAAAATCCTTGGTCTAAAATATACCTTAGACAACAATTATCAAATTGGTATACAATTGATTATGCTTTTTACTCATAAATCTGTTTTACTAAATCCTGGATTTAGTAAAACAGAATTATGAGTAAAAAGTTTAAATGTTTTAGTTGACTGAAGAGGGGCTTAAGAGCTCGAAACGTGTAATTTTTTCCACACGTATCAACTAAATAAAGATGAGAAAATCCGCCAAGTGTCTTAATTTTTAGCACTATATTTTGTCAGAAGCATAAACAAATAGCAAAGCACGGTTTCATATCATCAAAATTAAAATTGTTGTTAAATGTAATATTGTAATGGGCAATGAACACACGATAATGTAATAACTAATAAACTTATTCGTGTTTAACTGTAACTCAGGTTTGAATCATTATTGCCTAAAAAGCGAACACGAAACTAATTTTCTGCAGGACCATTTGGTATGAGATTATTATAAAATTGTGATATTGGAATAAGGTTAAAGTGAATTAATAATAAATAAATAAAAAGTCAATTCCACACAAAGATTTCAATGTCCTTCAGTAAATTTTTGGTATCTTCGAATGTATTGATTTCATAAGTGTTTCTGCAAATCTGTGTTAATAACATCTTTTGATTAATATGGCTGGTAAAAAAAGTAAAAAATATGCACATATATGCACTAAAGGATAAAAAATAAGTTTTCTTTGGCTTAAACGAAATTGTCGGCATTACGCAACCAAGTGTGGGCACTTGCGAGAAATCCACAAAAATTGATTAGAAATATTCTTAGTTACACTTTTTATCAATTTTTGAGCTTCCCACAAGTCTCCAAAGCTTTTATTTTTAATATTGCATTACACCAAAAATACAGTAAAAGCCAAAGAATATTTCTTTTTTACTTTTCAGTGCATTTATGTGAATTAAAAGCATTTGTTTAGAACGTTTTTTATTTTCTACTTTTTCATTTTATATAAGTAACACTAAATTATCAAAATTCTTCTTCTTTTAGCATTTAATTGGAAAATGGGTGAAAAGTTACAAGATTTTATATAGAGACTAGAAAGAGACAAGGACCTACGTGTAGCACCATTTCTTATCAAATTTTAATTCTTTGCTAATTGCTAAAATTGTTTGCAAATTCTAAAAAAAAAAAAAACAAATATATGTATTGTCATCAGGAATACATATGTATGCAAAGTTTCGACTACATCAGAAATTGGAAAGTGGGTGAAATGTGAGTTACTTTATCTGCACAGATAAACAATGTTAATAAAGTGTACAATAATTCATCATCTGATTACAATATACATATGTACAGTACATAAGCAGTATTAAATAAGTTTATTATTGTTATTATTATTATAATAATGAATTAGCCATATTAAAACCTTATTAAAATCTAGGAAAATAGTTTGTTTATTACTGCAAATTGAACTTGGTTTATATGTAATTATTATTATTATAATTATTAGCTGCTTAATGACAGTTTGCACATGAAATGGAGAGCTGAAAAATTTGTAGCTGCAAGTACTTTTTCCTATATTTAGATACTTTTTTTCTTACGTAAATATTTTCTTGTGTTAAAACTTTTACATTTAGACTATACTGTATAATGTTTTTCTAAATACGTTCTATTTGTTTGCTTAATGACACATTTCTTGAAACATACCCCTATTATTAAGTCGAGGATTATCTGTATTATTTCTTTTATGCTCGACTTAACCAAATTGACTTATGTTAGGATCACAGAATCAAACTTGGTCATAACTTGGACTGTCTATGATTTTATGATTATTATTATACATTTATAATCAATTTTATACTAATAATTTTATTAAATTTGTACCCTGAAATCGTGATCATTGTAAAGCATTTGCTACAAAAATTTATTAGGGATTTTTGTAAATATATTTCCTTATTTATCATAATAATAATTTGATACTTTTCAAATATAATCACCTATATTAAGTTATTAATTTACATTTCTAAACTAAATTTTTCCTTTATTTATGATGCTACAATTCATACATTTATTTGCACATAATAAAAATAACCTACATATAAAATTGGTGACTTTGTACTATTAAAGAAATCGACTTACCTTCTTCTACTGGCATAAATACTAATTTTACCGTCTGCCCTCGTAAAACTTGGACGATTCGTCGGCAAATTTTGTCCTAAATAAGCTACGGTATTAGCTGGATTAAACAGTCCAGTTTTGCCATTATTGAGGATTCCTTTCCATAACTGAGGGTTCTCTGCATTAGGTCTATATTCAAATTAAAATATATTAAATTTTTAACTGCATAATTATAAAAAAAAATTATGTAAGTGAACTGTTAAATGTGAGGAAAACAACAAATTATGTACTGTATTTATATAACAAACAACAACATGATTTATTTGTATCACTAAACAATCTACCAGATTATCTATCAGACTATTTTTAGGCTAGTAAATAAACAAACAGATCAGTTTGGTTAGAGATAGGTGGTTATGTCCCCTTCTCACGGTAAATTTAATAATTAGAAATAAATTAATTTTAATTTAAAATATTCTGGAAGTGAGTCAGAATCTTGCTCTGGACTGATTTTTTTTTCTTCCAAAATATTTAAATTAAAATACTAAATTACAAAACCGAACTTAGGCAGTTTTTAAAATAGAATTTAAGTTTAATAAGATGAATTACCATTTTCAAGAATCTTCAATTACCCGACAGTGGTAATTATCTATAACATCACAGTTAACAGATTCTAAATTAAAGCATATATAAAGTACACATACATAATGTAAATCAATGCACTGTCTCCTTGTATTCAATATAGTAAATTAGCTACAGCAGAATATAATTAATTAGTTTTTAATAAAAAATAGACATGGCTTTTAAAAGAATTCATGCCAACGTCCTCAATGCAAATTTTTCCGAATTCTTTATTTAATTGCAGGAAACTATGGATTGGGTTTTAGTATCGGTAATCCGTCAATACTTTGTAAATTTAGTCGATTCGAGTATCGTATTTGTCTATTCCCAATGTAAACAGACAACACCTCTTTCGAATGACAAAGACCAAGCAGACGAATATGTTATCCAATGTATTTTATTAAAATTCTTAAGGATTTTAATAAAATATATTGAACGATATCCTTGTTGGCAAATAAGATATTACTAAATTTACAAAGTATTGACGAATTAATCGATTTTTAAATTCCTACTTTAGTTGTGGCAATGTATGAGGCACATATTTGAATTTATTATATAAATTTGAATGCAACTTCCAACATTAATATATAATAATAATAATAATAATAATCAGGAAAATCACTTAAAAATAAAACAAATTAGACAACTGATGACTTATGTAAAGTGATCATTTAAAAACTAAAAGTTATTTATATATGTATTTATTTTATATATATATAAACAATTTTTTTTGTTTTCTGAAACCGTTTTACATTTTATTGAGTGTTGAACACAAGATTGTGTTATTAATTAAACACTTGGCTTTTTTCACATCTTTATTCAGTTGATACGGGAACTTCTACATGTTTCGGGCACTTAGCCCTTCATCAGTCAACATTAAACATGCTATGTACGTAAGGACAGATATACACCACCAAAAGTTCACTTTCTTCCAACTAGAAGAATAAGTTGACTGCATCAACTTTATAAAATCTACATACATTGTTAAATAGATGCAATATATTTAACATCTTCTTAACATAATAAAAATAATACATCAGACACGTAAAAGAAGAGTAAATGCGATACTGAATGAAAGGAACACGACAGACACAACGCATGTGCAATAGAAACATCGTTCGAATTTTTCTTTTTAAAAAATTGCGTGACGGTGTTCAAAAATAAGGAATCCAACCATTTTACCTGAAGAAGGACACGGAAGGTGTTCGGAAAACGTTTGTTTTTACAAAATTATTTATTTTTGTATTTCTACACACCGGTTAGAGGCACGAGTAAGTACATTTTTGTTTATTATACACTCCGGCATGCACGAAGAAGTTATACTTATCAAAGTTGATTTGGGTTTGGCTATTTTTGGCAATTCGAATAATTGTGCAAATTCCGACTGTCACAAATACTTGAAAATGCAAATTAGCATCAACAGCAACCAAGCTCAATATTGTGTGATGGACCAACAAGAAACAGAATATTAAAAAAATATAGTATAGTAGATTAGGAGAAGTTCCTCCGACTCTGTGATGTACCAAAATAGAAAGTTGAAAGAATTCAGCCAAGTATATTCATAGACTTTGATAAGAAGATGTTAAATATATTGCGTCTATTTAACAATGTACGTAGATTTTATAAAGTTGATGCAGTCAACTTATTCTTCTAGTTGGAAGAAAGTGAACTTTTGGCGTATACGTGTCCTTGCGTACATAGCATGTTTAATGTTGACTGGTGAGGGGCTAAGTGCCCGAAACGTGTAGAAGTACCCGTATCAACTGAATAAAGATGGGAAAAAAGCCAAGTGTTTAATTAATAACACAATCTTGTGTTCAACACTGTACATAAACAGTTAATTGAATTATTAGAAAAAAATAGATTGACAGATTGACTGATAGATATGAATAGATTATTTTTTAATCAGCTTATCTATGAATGAATATTGGCTGCACTATAAATTAGAAGTGATAACCAATACCAATTCAATACATTGGTGTATTGGAATTAGTTTGTTTTACAAACCGATGTTGCAATCTCTCTTCTTTTTTCAACAGTCACTACATATATATATTAATACATAAAACAAGAAGTATCAATTTCTAAAACAAACTGACAGATCAGGAATATTCTGATATGTCAATACATGGGTGTCAGTTATAATCATTACTATAAATTACGTTAAAAAAGTTTTAAACAATGGAAAAATTAAATAATTACTTCTTATCTAAAACAGTGATAACATCTCCAACTTTATAACTCAACCAGTCTTTAAGTTTCAGACTTGTTGGGAAACCAATGTAATCCTTCACAGCTTGAACTTGTTCTGGTTTGCACTATATTAAATATTTAATAAATAATTAAATAACCGACAATAATAATAATAGATTATACATAAAGAAATATAAAATTCTTACTTCTGGTAGAGAGTTAAGAATGTCGACAAATTTCGGACGTTTGTTTGGATCGTGCTGCCAGCACTTCAGCATAAGAGTGTAGTAATCTTTAGGACAATATTCTGGCTGTTCGAGTCTTTGAAAATTAGGTTCGTCAATAGCTTCTAAAATCTGAAAAAGTTTGTTAAGAAACACTTAAAATTAATATACTGTATATATATATACAGTACAATGATATTAAAGTTACATGTATGGTATTGCATACAAGGCCTGTAAGTTGTCCGTTTAGTACCAGTTGATCAGTTACACATACAATATTGCATACGACTTTACAGATCTGGTATGCATTACCGTACATATAATGTAAATGTCATTACAAATTCTCACTGTATAGTAACTTTTCAGATATCACTGTGTTAAATTTAACTACTGTTAATTAATTTATAATGAATCATTGACATTTGAAGTTTAAAAATTAATTTTTTCTGATTTCATATTGCCAATAACATTAAAATCAAAATTAATTTTGTGAATTCATTCTTGTTACTTTCATTTTCAAGACTTTCAATAGGGATTGTGATCAATGTGAATGTATATAATTTCAGTAAAAGATAGACGTCAGGTGCAATCTCTCATCTAAATGAATTATTAATTAAATAGATAAGAGATGATATCTAATGTCTACCTCTAGTACCAAGTTACTAGTTTCTAATTATTAATTCGATAAAAGATATTTGTGAAAAGTGTTACACAGTAGAATGTGACTCAAAAAAAATCATCATAATGCATAAAAATTCACTTAAAATAATGTTTTAGAAAGAAAAAATGAATATAAAAAGAACCAATAAAGGGATCATCACAACAATTTTGTTAAAAAAATTTTCATGTACTTATTAAACTAATTGGAAGAATTGTGTTATAGCAGCAGTTCTCAAACGTTTTTGGATTTTTCAGCACACTGCAAAACGTGAGAAATTTTTTCAGTGCGCTTCATGTACGAAATTATAAATAGCTGTATACTATAATAATTGCTAACTTACAGTTTTAACCTTGCTATTAGTTTATCATAGACGTAATAAATTTATGTACAAATCATTTTTTTCTCATTTAAAAAATATAATTTCTGACATATGTGGTATATTTTGCCATCTCTTTTGGCATAAAAGTGTGCCCTGGTGCATTGTTTGAGAACCACTGGGTTATAGTATTATTCTTAGTTGTTTTTAAATGGTGGATTGGAGCATTGCGTTAAAATACGCAATGCTCCAATCACTTATTTTTTATTATAGCTTACACATTAATTTAAATAGAAACAAAATACACAGATGAATAGATCAAACATTAAAAAGTAAAATATGGCATTTTCTAAGATGCTGTGGCTTTGCATTTCAATTGTATTAAGTGTTTGGATCACCACAGTTCTTTGTATAGTAGACCATATTCACATCATATATATATTCATTCTGTGCAAATTTTAAACAAGTATTCTTTCAATAACTAATTAAAAAAGTAGTTTTATGTATATTATACTTTTCTAGCTGTTATAACAAGCCATGGGAAAGTATTGTAATCGTGTCAAATTCAACCTTAGTTTTTTGCATAGCTTGACAGTTTGAGATCCTTGAAAAAAATAATAAAAAGTATAAAAAAAATAAATAAATAAATTCCATCTGGCACAGCATCTTACATATAGGAGGCATCAATGCTAATAAATTTTGGAGTACCGAATTCAAGGGGATGGAAGACAGAGAGGTCATGCATCATATCTTGAGTATGGTCATACTAAAAGAAAATTTTACTTGTTATTGGCATTTAGAATTTTTAAAAAATCTCATCTCTACCCTCAAAATATGTTAAAAGGTATAACACACAATAATTTGAAAAGTAAGATAAATGCTCTTTTACATTCTTTTCAAACTGCAGTTAAATAATAATCAAACATCAACAAAAAAAAACCTTTAAAATGCAGCTTTTTATTAACTAATCAAATGGCCAAAAACGTTCGATTAGTTAATAAAAAGCTGCATTTTAAATGCTTTTTGTCGACGTAATATAAATCGCAGATCATCAACAAACAATTTTACGCGAATGTTATTATATATTTGTGTAATTGTTATAACATAAAATGCAATTTCAGTACAAGACAAGTGATGAACGATAAGACAAATGACAAATGATAAAACAAACTCAGCAGGAAATAGACTCACTCCATTGACAGTTCAATAGTTCACATCAGACAATAAAAACAGGTCACACAGGATCGAGTAATCCGTTGGAAAAAATTCAAGAATACAAATAGAATGTGCTATTATATAAAACACCTATTCTTCATATGACATCCTCATTAATAAAAATTAAAATAAATACAAAACTCGGTTTAAAATAATAAACTTTCTAAATTTTAAACAAGGGAGAAAACGTTTAAGGTTACAATATTCAAAAATTAAAAAAAATATCATCAATATCTCTATAAATACATTTCACTTGATATAATTTATCATCATCAAACAAGCTTTAAAGCAACCAAATATTTAAACAGAAAATTATTCACAATTACATAAATTTAAGACTCTAATTAATTTATTTCTGTGTAAAAAATTAACAGAATCAAAGAACTGAAAATGCTTTGATTATGTTAATTTTTCAAAATATTTTTATCAATTCAGAACCGCTTCTTGTCTGACTGTTCAATATTATATTTATAATAGCTCTAAGACTGCTCTTTAACCTCTTAATTTCTACATTACTGTGGAAGTTTATGACTGGAACCATTACTATTATTATCTAATATTTTTAAAACTAACAGAGTAATATTAATATTTTCTTACTTTGAAACTAGCAAGCATTATAGAGAAAGCTAATGGATCTTGTGTCTGTTTAATTTAAACATTGTTTTGTCAATACTTCATTTTTTATTGTCAAAATTATAAAGGTTAGTTTACATGGTAGAAATATTGCTGATATTTTCTCACTTAAAACTGTAATATGTGGGGATCTTCTTCATGTAAACAAACTCAAGACTTGACTATCTTGGTTCGACAAGTTGCAACTGTGTTGTGGAAAATCTAATTTGTTGGATTTTTCACTCATTGTCGCACTTTTGTTTCTCGAGAGTGGCAAGAGTACGATCTAAAATGTGATTACATTCATTGTGTTGCATCGTTAAACCAATCAACAACAAGCCTGTAATCACATCAGACTGTACTCTCACCATTTGAGAAAACTGAATGATCTTCTGCATGCTCAAAATAACTCAGAAATCATAATTTAGTGCATTATATAAACATCTGAATTACTAACAAATCTTGTCAGCATGTTTTTGAATGCTACAAAAAGTCAATAGTAATTGCTTTTAAGCAGCTTCATCTTACTTTGTTTAGTATTAAGTACAGTATAAACCACCTTAAATACCATAAAAGTAAGATGGAACTGCTTTAATGAATAGCACATACTTGGCAATAAATAAAATAAACATACCTGCTGACCCGTTAATGCAGCCCATGGTTGAAATCCGTAACTGAACATTTCCCATAACGTCACGCCATAAGCCCAAACATCACTAGACGAAGTAAACCTTAAATAATTGATGCACTCTGGTGCACACCTAAATGTCAAATAATCAAGTTTTAATACAGTAAAATTAATCATTTTTTTTAGATTAATTAATGAACGGCTAAATTCAAAATAGATATTACCATGCAATTGGTAATTTGAGATTCACATTAAAATTTGTTTGATAATAATCCTTTCCGACTCCTAATGCTCTTGACAGACCAAAATCACTAATTTTAACCTAAATTAAAAAAATATATATATACAAGTTAGGGAACGAATACATTCGAATTAACGTTTTTTAATGTTTATTAACCTTATTTTTAGCAAAAACTAAAATATTTCGAGCAGCAAGATCCCTATGAATGAGGCGTTTGCTTTCTAGATATTGCATTCCGTCGCATATTTGAAAAGCAAAATCACAGAGAGAAATAATCGGGAAACTGGGCCTTAATGCTGGTTCTTTCAAGCATTCGAGTAACGATCTCAAAGGTGCTAGTTCTGTAACCTGCGAAAAGAAAATCACAAATGATATGAATAATCTATTCGATGCATTATATATTGAATTGTATTGAATAAACTTAGACGTAGATCTTACCAACATCAATGCTTTTGTATCTAGAACCACGCCGTACAATCTAACGATATGTTCATGGTCAATTGTATGCATGATGGCTGCTTCCTTTAAAAACTCCATGTGACTATTCTGAATTCTTTCCTTGCTAAGACATTTAATAGCCACTTGTATCTATTCACAAAATAAAAATTAAAATCAGTTTTTTAGTGAATGATTATTTTTTGGTGTAATGTGTTTAGAGAAAAGACTATATGTTGTCCAATCTTTAAAATAAAAATCAAAAGATGTACAACAAGAATCAAACAATAGTACGGTACACTCCAGTATGCATTGATGTCAGCCACAACCGATACACCAGTGAACCAGTTACCGGAATATCTGGCAGCTTAACAAGATAACAGAAGGAAACGACACTATATTGGCATTATTTTGAGTTAATACAATTGAGTAATAAAAATTGTGTTTATAATATAACCGTGGAAGTGACCATACCAATTTATTAGAGCTCGGCCATGTAACGCATGTCGGTTGCTGCACTGATGAATGTGTTGGTGAATATTGCAACATATTTTAGTACATTGTGGTTCACCAATGTGTCGTTTGATACATACTAGAATTTACCCAATGTCAAGAGACATTGTGCTAAACACAGAGTTTTAACAATATATTAATAAACAGTGTAGCTGCAAGATAAGAGTTTTAGACAGTATCTTCTAGCATTAAGCACACTGTCTATTAGAGGAAGATAAGGCTTATTTTAAACTGAAAACTTACACATACTCAGCATTGTCACTCTTATGATGTGTTGAAATAAGTTGTAAGTGTGTCGAGTGTTACATTATTGTTCAAATAATAATAAAGTGGAAAAATTAACCTATTGATTCCATTAATAGTCACTCTCTAATAGTAAGCACACTAATAAACGGTGCCGCTACAAGATGAAAAGTATTAGACAGTATGCTCTTTATTAGAATAAATACAGCATTTTATATTTTAAGAAATTACAATATTTTGAATAGTTTTAAGTGCACTTTATTACAATAATTTTCAAAGTATTTTAAATTTTATTTTTTAATTGAAGGCCTTACTAATACACTTGCTTTCAAGATAAGTGTTAATGGCATTAAGTAGACAGAAGGTTAGAAGGTGATAATTTTCGGCCATAAAAATTTTAATTAAAACATCTTTTAATGTTTTGTTTAAAGAACTATAAAATGGACTTTTCTCCACACGATTGCTTATAATTTACACAAGGATACCACATTAAAAAATAAGTAAAGGACACACAATGTTATTTTATTGCAATGAATAACAACTTTCATTTCCACTAACTTTATAATATATAATTGACTAATTCTTTACTATTAGTTGACCTTAAATAGAAAACAAAAAAACAGAAAAGTTTCAATTTAGCTTCAGCAACTGAATATATTCCATATGGACTTTAGCGGTAATAAATCATACTTAAAATCCATACTATCTGCAGATTCCTAAGTATGAGAAAACTAGTATAGAATGGATACGTTAAAGGCATTTCTCATATGTAACTTTTCTTGCTAAACTGGCATTTATGGCCTTCTTGAAAGTGACAAAAGTATTGCTTCTCTTAACCTCATCTTTGTTAGTACAGATTATATGACATAAACCATAGGCTTAAAGGAAAGCTGCTTTGAAACAACATTTACTAATTATCAATACCTGCCAACAGAGGAACTAGTTGTTGTATTTTTAAACTTACAGAAGTGGTAAAAAATAACCTCTTAAAATGTAATAATGTCAACCAATAAAATATCCAATAAAGAAACGAGAGTTGCAATGTTTGCTGAAGAGATTTAGACTTGTCTTCACTGGAATAATTAGGAAACAAGACAAATTTACTGTTTTCTATTATTGTCATTGTCACTAGATGACACTATTACTTTCCTGAAATTGTCCAGTCCATGTGCAGGTTCGCGATTCTCAGTTTTTGTATAATTTAGGTCTTCTAAAAGTGAGAAGAGTTCTCATTGTGAATATCCCTGTTATATACTAGAGGTTGAGGCCGAAGTTTTAAACACGGAAACGTGTATGTCGGACGTTCAGCGCCACTTTCCTGTAAGCCTAGAAGTTTGACAATAGTCATTGGAATGATTCCACTGACTATCCAAACACCATTGTCAAACTACTAGGCTTACAGGAAACCGGCGATGAATGTCTGACGTACATGTTTTCGCGTTTAAAACTTTGGCCTCAACCTCGCTACTATGTTTATTAACATTTACTTAATACATACTTATTTTATTAACTTGTCAATCATACAGTGTGATTGTAAAGCCCTCTCAGTGAACCAAACCCATGTGACTTGGCTGAGAAGTGACAAATATCTTATCAACTCTTTCAACTTGTGGTCTGCCTATGACATCATTACTTCAGGCCTGGAGCTCCTCTCGTTTCCCACTTGCTGTGAAAGAACTTTATAATCGCACAGTATACTAAGAAAAATCATAAATGTTAGACAATTCTATACAACAGAAAAAAAAAGACATTTAGATCAAATTACAAGTTGCATGTTTCCCTCACTAGTACACAGTGTTAATGATACACAATGATATCTACTTAGAAGTTATATTTGAAATTATGTAACGTCGATGCTGTCGGCAAACATGGTTACACCTTTCGACGGTTAAAGTCAAGTTTCAGCTTTAATTTAAATTGCTTCTACTCTCGGAATTCAATTACTTGATATAGTTTAAGAATATAAGTATTTGAAGAACAGACATTTAAAGTGTTTGTATAGCATAAACACTTACCCTTTCCCCTTCTTCGTTAGTCCAAACACCCTGTTCTACGACTCCGAATTCTCCAACGCCCAATTCCTTATTAATTACGATGCTATCGGCAGATATTATATGCTTGCTCGGAACTCTTACGTTTTTATCAATGTTCGAATCAACTAACAATATGGAAGAGCTGTCCAGATCCTCTTTAAACTTTGGCAGAATCATCTACACAAAAGGATCAATTGACATTATACCAAAAGTTACTCACAAAAACGTTTTAAAGATAAGAAATTCACCTTCTTTATCTTCTTCAAGTAAGTAGGAGGATAATATTTGTGAAAAAATTTACGTAATCGCCTCTGCTCGGGTTTGCTCATACCCAACTGTAACAGGTCTTCTTCCTCGACGTACTTCAACTGAGATATGCTATTCACTTTTAAATCTGTTTTTAACGAATTGTAATAATGAGATAATTCGGCCTCCATCAGGAATTCATAAAGACTAGGCCCTTTATTTGTCGAATCCATGGCAGAAAGGATTTAAATTTTAACTGTAAAAAAATTATTTACTATTATTATTAATAAAGTAACATTAATAATTAAAAAAAACTAAATCATTTTAAATTTTATTCTACTATAAAATTAAAACCTTTACTAAAGTATCTGGACTGTAGACGGTCGGAAAACAATTATTTCGGTATGTCAGCCAACTTTGACCCAACTCTCAATTAGGTCAGGGGTAAAATAATACACGAACCAGGCAATGCACTCTCCTCTGGCCTACAGCCAACTCAGTTTCTACCAGTGATCTAGCCACAAGATTTATTTATGTCTTTGAACTACTCACCAAAACCCAGACATAGAAGATAACTTGCAGTGGAACATTCCCGACACTCTAAAATCTAACATAGTAATTTCTATATTCCTCAAAAGACGAATAAATAAATAGCCGAACGTCGAACCGGATCGTTTACAATTTAATTATTTAGAAAAATCTAAATTTGTTAGCGTTCTAGAGGTAGAACTTAAGGTCTAGTTTTGCGGGACGTTGTAGAGTTTTGTACTTTCTTCTAACGGAGATTTATGTATAGATTAATATTTGATTAATTAAGAAAAAGATGGCTTAATTTCTAAAGCTTTTATTTCCACGTAGATAAAAAATCTACATTAAAAATAAGGATAATTTATAAAGAATTTTTACAAGCTTTCTAGAAAATTGTAACAGCTTAATTTCTGTTTAAAAGGGAGGAATTTATTACTCTTCCCTCACACTTCTAACCTATAAAAGTGAAGATTTTCTAACAATAAATTACATTTTATAGTAAAAAAAAAAACTGATTACAACACTTAAAAAAAAAAAAAAACAACTCTTTCTTCAAGACCTGTAGAAAGACCTGAGATTTCAAGCTAATTATTTAATTAATTGCGAACTTTAGGAGTTTGCCAACGACAAATTTCGAAAATAAACTTATAGGACTGTTTATTTAACATATAAATTTCGAGATGTTCAATGACTCATAGCGTTTTTTACGGTAGAGAAAGTTCAACGTTCAATCCAAACACGCGCGCTTGTATGTAATTCTAAGGCGATAAATATCGTTTCCTAAAAATGGATGTCATTGAAACGACCTCAAATCTTGTAAAAAAAAAAAAAATTGTATTATTATATCACATTTAAATAAATTCGACCTCCAAACTAGTTTCTTTTTTCTCTCTCTCCTCCTCCTAATTTTAAATCGTTATTGTCGATACATATCGCATAACTTCCGGTGTCGTGTTAATTACAAAGATGCGGTTTCTAGCTTCTGTTATACGTCACACCGGATTTTCAACACAAGAAAAAACATTATTTTCCTTCCTTATATTCGAAACAATAGACTTTTTTAATTTTTTGTGTGTCTTCGCCCATTAAAATTCCTTTAATTAATTAAAAATGTTAATTTAAATTCGACCGTTCGTTTGTCGGTCGGTCAGTTAAAAAAAAAAAAAAAAGTATTGTTTTACGTAGAAGAAGTGGCGCTAAATCGGGTGTTGCGCTAAAGCGAGGTACGTACTTCGGTTTGGATTCGGTTTTAAATAATCAACTACGTGACGTAAAAAGTTTCGATGACGTCACCATTTTCGAATTTTACAACCGGAAGGTGTGACGTCATAATTTCCGGTTGTTGTTTTTTTACACGCGCGTTTTTGTTTTTCTTTTTTTTCCTTTCTTAAACCACCGGAAAGTCTGACGTCACAATTGATTAACCACGTCACAATTATATTAATTAAAACACGTGGAATTTTTGAGATCGATTCGGAAAAAGTGGACACGTTTTAAACACGTGACTTTCTTGTTTTTCCTAATAGGAACAAAGCATTCGTAACCCCGAAGGCAGAGCGTTTTCCTTTAATAAAAGGCGGCAAGAACACGTCTTAACCTCTTATTTTTATTTTTAGACTATTTTTTTTAACGCTAATGCGGAAGCAATTACTGTATTGATATCGCCGAATCCATCCGTTCGTATGTCTATCCGTCTCATGCAAGAGTAATTCTTTCCGAAATCGCTGTCCGGGGGAGGTATTTTTCTGATTCGAGGAGGTCGGTCGGTCAATTTATATATACGGTAACCTGTGTAAACCGGACTCGTACGATACCGCTCTGGCAATTTCCGTTTTAAACAGACTTTTAGACAAGAAAATCGCTGCATTGATAAGAAATTTTTCCCGTTTGGGCAGATTTTACTGTAGACAGATGCAAATAAATAGGCTACAAAAGTAATAATTACTTTTATGTTCTTAGCTGTTTACTGTATATGTTTATTTTCAATTTCCTGGGGATATATTATCCTACAGGTTACCTTCTGAAAAAAACCCCCAGGTAATGTTATACGGGATTTATGATACTAAACTGTGACAATTCTGGCAAAATTCATTGTAAGAGTTAAATAAAAACTTAACAATCTATCAAATACTTAAAAAAATTTCAATGGGTGCATTCTAAATTCTTGGATCTTGTACTCCAAGGTGAAAACTAGAAGCCTTCACGGTGTAATTTATAGACACCGCAGAGATTTTTCAATAAAATTTGTTCTAGATAACATTTCCGATGTATTAAAGTTACTTCTTTAAAGTACATTCTTCAACCGTGCCATCTGTGTAAAGTGCCAACGAATCCTTTCCGCAAATATTAAGTAGAACCCTTCGGCATCTGCAAATTACTAAATGTACAATTTCGAATTACGGATGATATAATTCGGTGATAAGCTTTAAACGGTGATGGATCTAGCGATGGAGAAATTCTACCTGTGATCTCGGAAGAGTTGGTGACCAAAAGTGACCGGCTCGTGCGTGGGGAGAATCCCATGGATTATGTAATTATAAATTTGGTTTTAAGCTTTATTTTTGTTTGCAATAGAATTTGTTATCTAAAGGAGTAGTCACCCGAAATGCATTTGCCAAATAGTAAAAAATTTTAGTAGAAAGGTTTCTCGGTTGTTTCATCTATCTAGACACTTGAATGCTGGGGAAGCAAGTGTAAGGAATACTGCCTGATATGTCATTATAGAAGGAAGTTCACACTTATAGTTAAATATAATAATCTTTAACTCATCCTCTATGTAACCAATATAAACTTTAAATTCAAACTTTTGCATAAACTTCATTATTATATGTAATTCTCAAGTAGTTCTGTTTAGTACCACACTTGATCTTGTGTCAGTTTGAGTGAATAAATGATGATTTTAATTTGAAATTTGACTGTGTTTAATCTATTAATAATAATTCTATTAATATAATAATAATTTAATCTATTAATATAAATAAGCAATTTTTAAAATTTATATAACTTGAATAATTAAAAGTGTCATCCATGCCTAATTACGGATATTCCATCACAGCAAATCCACTATTTCTAATTTGGTTTGTCAATATATCAATACTGATGGCCAGATGGTCGCATTGTAAAAGCACTATCCTGCAACTCCGAAGGATCTAAGTTCAAGTCTGGATTGAATTCTTGGAAATTCTATGCATGGTTTTGACTTAACCGAATCAGAAACCTCACCGACTAACTTACGGGTCTCATACTCAATATCATAATGTTATAACTTTAATATTATTACAAATTTCTCCCTGCAAGTAACTTTTTGGATACCCTGTATCTTTACTGTGGCAATATTTATGTTCGGTATAATATATACGAGTGTAAAGGGTGATATTTATTACAGTAGAATGCCGATTATCTGAAATAATTCATTCTTCGGGTTATCCCAGCAGCTTATAAGGTGTTTGTTAATTTATTTTGAATTAACCTGCTGAGGTTAATTAATGAAGATAATATAATCTGATATTCATTATGAAGTTTATATTTTATAAGAAATTCTAAGAGGAAGAACATTACAAAAGTAGAACTTTTATATTTAATACCGTCACTAGAAAAGATCATTCGAATATGCTTTTAGGATGCCAAGCTGCAATTTTTAATCATCTTTTAATTTTGAAAAATTACGCGACTTCTGGTCCAGACTGGAAGTTCATACATAGTTAATTGGGACCTTTGACTCAAGCTGTCTATATCTGGTCTCGATTTCCATCTAACTCCATTCTCAAGAGTAACGAGGGACAGATGGGCACACAGATGGGCGAAAATTGCCCAATAAAATTATTTACTACATCAGGTGGTTGCTGTAAATCAAGAATTCAATATATTTATATTCTAAAGAGATTAACGAAATGATATCCTCATTAATTATGATCACGTAATTGATAAAAGTTTATGGTTCTATAAATAATGATATTAATTGCACTGAGTTGTTTGCATCCTACATACATTACAGATGCAGACGATAACATATTATACAATTATATTGTCTTTGGATTACAAGCATGTTTTAAGTATACAATGGCATATCATATATAAACATCGTAAGTGCTGATTAATTAATTTCAAATTCCTTTAATATTTATAAATGGATTTTAATAAATTGGCTGTATTTAGAATCTGTTAAGCTCCGAGGCCCTAAAAGTTAAATTAGTTAGAGGATAATCCAACACTGATGTTATGTATATACACAAATACTTAAACATTTCAGCAAAGCGTTCATGTACAGTACATTTTAACTGTTTACAATTCATTTAATGAGTTTATTTACCTATAAATTATCTGTTTTAATATATTTAAATTACTTCAATAAATTTTAATTTGGTTCTAGAACAAAGAACGAATGACAGCCCTTTAATCCAGCAATTAATTATAATCTAAACTAATTATATATAATTGACATATTAAAGGCTGCTTTTCTACTCTAGTCATGCAGTTTTAGTCATTTGCAGTCATATTTCACTTACAAGTTAGTAATTTATGTCAATTTGTTTAACAAATTTGAATATGTAATTCTATAATAATTCTCTTATAGATGAATAATTTTTATATAAAATTATTGTTGCTTATTTCTGTTGCAAAGATAATCATTGCGGCACACAGCTTTTCTACAATCCTTTGAAAAATCTCTCTTTTCCATGAATATTAAGGCAGCCGTTCTACATGATAACAAAAGAGATTAATCGACAC